TCTCTTTTTCCTAAAATGCTAAAGAGGAACAAAAGACATCTAACAGAGCAATGGTACAATTAAATGAGTAAAGTCTTATAACATACATAAAAGGATTCCTGGCTGTATTAGTCTATTTTCACACTGCTATAAAGAAATACCTGAGACTGGGTAATTTTTAAAGTCATTTTTAATTGACTCACAGTTCTGCATGGCTGGGGAGGCCTCAGGAAACCTACAGTCATGGGGAAAATTACTTCTTCACAAAACAGCAAGAGAGACAGACTGAAGAGAGAAGAGCCCCTTATTAAACCATCAGATCTCGTGAGAACCCAGTAACATGAGAACAGCATGGAAAAACTGCCCCCAAGATCCACTTACCTTCCACCATGTCCGTCCCTCAATACCTGGGGATTACAATTCAAAATAAGATTTGGGAGGGAACACAGAGCCAAACCATATGATTTTTCTCCAGGTCTCTCCAGTCTCATGTCCGTTACACATTTCAAAACCAATCATGCCTTCCCAACAGTCCCCCAAAGTCTTAACTCATTCCAGCATTAATCCAAAAGTCCAAGTCCAAAGTCTCATATGAGACAAGGCAAGTCCCTTGACCTATGAGCTTGTAAAATCCAATGCAAGTTAGTAACTTCCAAGATGCAATAGGGTACAGGCATTGGGTAAATGTTCCCATTCCAAATAAGAGAAATTGGTCAAAACAAAGGGGCCACATGTTCAATGCAAGTACTAAATCCAGTAGGGCAGTCATTAAATCTTAATGTCCCAAAATAATCTCCTTTCACTCCATGTCCCACACCCAGGGCATGCTGATGCAAAGGGTGGACTCCCATGGCCATGGGCAGCTGCTTCATGGGCAGGTGTTGAGTACCTGTGGCTTTTCCAGGCACACAGTGCAAGCTGTCAGTGGATCTACCATTCTGGGGCCTCCAGGGCAGTGGTCTTCTTCTCAAAGCTGCACAGGGCAGTGCCCCAGTAGAGACTCTGTGGGGGCTCCAAGCCCACTTTTCCCTTCCACACTGCCCTAGCAGAGGTTCTCCATGAGGGTTCTGCTTCTGCAGCAGACTTCTGTCTGGACATCCAGGTGTTTTCATCCATCCTCTGAAATCTAGGCAGAGGTTTCCAAACCATAATTCTTGAATTCTATATACCAAGAGGTCCAACACCTTGTGGAGGTTGTCCAGGCTTGAAGCTTGCACCCTCTGAAGCAACAGCCTGAGCTGCATCTTGGCCCCTTTTAGCCCAAGCTAGAGTTGGAGCAGCTGGATTCAGGGCACCAAGTGCTGAGGCTGCAAAAAGTAGCAGGGCCCTGGGCCCTGCCCAGGAAACCATTTTTGACCTCTGGGCCTGTCATAGAAGGGGTTGCCATGAAGATCTCTGACATGCCCTGGATACGTCTGCCCCAATGTCTTGGCGATTAACATTCAATTCCTCTTCACATATCCAAATTCTGCAGCCGGCTTGAATTTCTCCTTGCAAAATAGGTTTTTCTTTTCTACCACATGATGAGGCTGCAAATTTTCCAAACTTTTACATTGTCACCTCTTGAACACTTTGCTACTTAGAAATTTATTCTGCCAAATACACTAAATTATCTCTCTCAAGTTCAAAGTTCCACAGATCTCAAAGGCAGGAGCGAAATGCTGCAGTCTCTTTTTTTTAAAACATAGCATGAGTAACCTTATTTCAGTTCCCAATAAATTCCTCATCTCCATCTCAGACCACCTTAGCCTGGACTCCATCATCCATATCACTATCAGTATTTTGGTCAAAACCATTCAATAAGTCTCTAGGAAGTTCCAAATTTTCCCACCTTTCTGTCTTCTCCGGAGCTCCAAACTATTCCAACCTCTGCATGTTCCCCAGTTCCAAAGTTACTTTCACATTTTTAGGTTGTTACAGCAATGCCCCACTCTCTTTGGTACCAATTTCCTGTATTAGTTCATTTTCACACTATATAAAGAAATACCCAAGACTGGATAACTCATAAAGAGGTTTAATTGAATCACAGTTATGCATGGCTGGGGAGGTCCCAGGAAACACAATCATGGTGGAAGGCAAAGGAAAAGTAACTACCTTCTTCACAAGGTGGCAAGAGAGACAGTCAGAGTGAAAGAAGAAGAGCCCCTTCTAAAACCATCAGATCTTGTGAGAACTTACTATCATGAAAAATAGCGTAAGAGAAACTGCCCTATAATCCAATCACCTCCCACCAGGTCATTTCCTCAATACCTGGGCACCCAGGCTTGTGATGGGAGGGACTCCCATTACAGTACAATTTTAATAACATCAATTACAATTTGAGATTCGATTTGGATGAAGACACAAAAGCAACTCATATCACTGGCATACAGTAAATGTTCATTCAAAGTAAATGGGGCATGGCTGGGCCCAGTGGCTTATGCCTGTAATCTCAGCACTTTGAGAGGCCAAGGTGGGAAAATCACCTGGGGTCAGGAGTTTGAGACCAGCCTGGCCAACATGGTGATACTCCATCTCTACCAAAAAATGCAAAAATTAGCCAGCTGTGCTGGCACATGCCTGTAGTCTCAGCTACTTGGGAGGCTGAGGGGAGAATCGCTTGAAACTGGGAGGTGGAGGTTGCAGTGAGCCGACATTGAGCCACTGCACTCCAGCCTGGGTGACAGAAAGAGACCCTGTCTCTAAATTTAAAAAAAAAAATAAAAGTAAATGGAGCAGACTCTGTTTTCCAAAGATGGTTTTCCAAACTTACCATACCAATTTTTCTTACAATGTGACTTTGACATACCTCCAATTGAGAGTAGGAGTGTCTGTTCTTGAAACCATCTTTGCAAAAATTTTAGTGAGAAAATTATAACAGTGAAAGACATCTGATCTAGCCCACCCTCTTCTTGCCTTTAGCTTTCAAGCTGTCTTAATTATTCCTGGGATTAGGCCAAGCTAACTTTAGAGGATAGTTTAAATAATAAGAGTCCTTCCTCAAAACTGAACAGCCTTTATAAAACTAATAAAAGGCCATCAGGCTGGGAGAGGAGAAGAATCCGAATTCTGCTACGGTACAGATACAAATGATTGCCAGCTGTTCTTGAAAATAACATCAGTATTATACACTGGTCTTTTGAGATATCTTTTCAGAATTTTTTTGCATGTCTGACACCCATAGCTCCACCTGGACCAACCAATTCCAATCCTATAGCCCCACCCAGGAGCAATTAACCTCAAGGGTACTTTTGGTTCCTTATGATTTTATCTCCACCCCAACCAATTAGCAGCAATCCTAGCCACCCCCAGCCCTTCCCCCAAATGACCTTTGAAAACCCCCTTACCTATTAGCTTTGGATGAAAATGATTTGAGTACTAACTCCATTTCCCATGTGGCGTGGCCTGCCTTGGTCTATTAAAGTCTTTGTTTAATGCAATGTCATGGTCTTTCTTTGTGCAGCAGGTGGGAAGAACCCCTCAGGTAGTCATGTTCTCTTCCCTTGAATTCAGGCAAAATTGTTGTGGTAGGAAAAATGATGCTATATAAATTTATTAGGTTATAAAAGATGAGATAGCTTCCATCCGGTTTTCTAAGTCACTTTTATTACCCTGGTCCACTATTTCAGCAGTCTGAGTGCAAAAGCCTTCCATGCTGCAAAGAGGGCCAGGCCAGATGGAAATTCCATGATCAGTTGTTCTAGACATCAGCTCAGCTGAGATCCCAGAAAACAGTCATGATCAACCACCAAACTAGTGAATAATGCTTCAGATGATAACAGTTCCCAGCATTCAGATCTTCATAGCTGAGGCCTAAATGATCATGGACAGATATAAGCGATCCCCACTGTGCCCTTTGAGAATCCCTGACTCACAGAGTCTGTTAACACAATAAAATGGCTACTGTTTTTTTTTTTTCAATTAATTTTTTTTTTTTTAAAGATGGAGTTTCACTATGTTGCCCAGGCTGGTCTTGAACTCCTGGGCTCAAGTGATCCTCCTGCCTCAGCCTCCCAAAGTGCTGGAATTACAGATGTGAGCCACCATGTCAGGCAAATGGCTGCTGTTTTTACTCAATAATAGACAACTGGAACAGTTTGCTATTAAGGTTTTAATGAAAATACCTTTTTGTACACTACAATTGCATAGTACAATAAAATGTCTACACTAGAAAAGGAACACAAAACCATGCATCCACACCTACACCCACTTTAAAGCACAGATATGGGAGAAAGCAAAAAAGCATAAAGCAAAAACACCAGAAAAGTGATTGAAACACCAGAAAAACATCAGAAAAGCATCTAAGAGTGCATATCAAAATCAGTGCTTCTATGTAAAAGACCAGTAACTTTATGGACTACTTGCTACTTAGTTTTCAGAAGAAACACCTGGGACACAAAAATTTTTGGCAATTAAGATTAAATTAGAAAATTACATAGGAAAGATTAAACATTAGAGTTATGAAACAAATTAGCAAATAAATATGATTTATAAGAAAATTAGGCTTAATTTATTTAAAAATCTTTAAGCTAAAAATATATCTTAATCAAATTAAATGTTTATGAATGTGTTTTGCAAGAAAAAATATTACATAAAAAGTAGACAGACTTCCGGTTTCTGTCTCATTTAAGAGGAGAAAAAAAAAGACTGAGAAAGACTCAGCTTAGGCTGGGCACAATAGCACACATCATGCGATTCATGATTCATGATTTTCAGCCCTGCTGAAAGGAGTGCCCTCCTCTTCCTTCATTGTCGGGGGTGGGAGAGGTGAGCGGGGAGATCAGGTGGAAAACCCTGACTTCTACACATTACCAACAAGTAGTGAGACACTTCTCCCCCTTTATGCGGTGGTGACTTTAGTGTAAAGAAAGGAGTTTTGTTACTACACAATGATAGTGAAAGGCACATGGAGAATACTAACAAGGCAACCCTGTGCCTCTGGCCAGTTAGTAGTGGAGGCCTAATTGGGAGCCTGAATTCTCAAACCCATCTAGCAGTAATAAGGCAGCCCTCTTACACCTAGAGTATAAATGGAGGTTGAGTAGAAAAGCTGGGTATCCACTCCCATCTTGTAGCAACAAGAAAGCAACCCCTTAACCTGACTGCTCAGTGTCAGAGATGTGAGAAGAGGTGTCTGAGGACTGCTAAACAGATTGAAATAAAATCCAAAATATAATAAGAAAATATCCAAAATGTTAAGAATTTAAATGAAAATCATTCCTCTTACCAAGAATCAGCAAAGTCTAAAATTGAATGAGAAAAGATAATCAACAGACACCAATGTCAGGATGATATAGATTACAGAATCTAACAAATATTTTAAAGTAATCATCATAAAAATATTCCAAGGACAAATTACAAATGAATTAAAACAAAAAATAGAAAGTTTCAGCAACTGAAAAATACAATGTCCCAACCAAAAGACACCAACGTCAGGATGATACAGATTGTAGATTCTAACAAATATTTTAAAGTCACCATCATAAAAATGTTACAAGGAACAATGACAAAATGAGTTGAAACAAAACTTGGAAAGTTTCAGAAACTGAAAAATATAATATCCCAATTAATGGATTTAACACCAGAATAGAAGGAACAGAGGAAAAAAAAATAGTAAACTTGAATACAGAACAATAGAAATTACACAAAATGAACAACAGAAAGAAAATAGACTGAAAAAAATACCGAACCTCAGTATTCTGTGGGAATTTAACAACAAAAAAACTAACACTTGTGTCATCAGATCCTAGAGGGAAAAAAGAAAGAGGGTGGGCTTGAAAAGTATTTCATGAAATAATGACTAAAATATTCCCAAATGTAGCAAGATACATACAAACCTACAAACTCAAGAATCTGAACAAACATCAAACAGGATAAACCCAAAAAGTTTACATTAAGACAATTATAAAAAAACTTCAGAAAACCAAAGATAAATAAAAAATCTTGAGAGGCACAAGAGAGAAACGTATCAAGTACAGGGGAAAAATTCAAATAGCAGTGTGTTTCTCTTCAGGAATGATGGAGGCCAGAATGATGGAGGCCCAGCATTTTTAAATAACTGATAGAAAAGAACTATTAACTTAGAATTCTGTATCTAGTGCAATAGCTTTTGAAAATAAGGAAAATAAAGACATTCTCAGATGGAAAAAAACAAAAACAAAAACAATTTGTCACTAGCAGACCTATTAGAAAAGTATGGCTAATAAAATTCTCAAAATTAAAAAAAAAAAGAAAGACATCTTGAAACATCAGGAAGAACAGAGAACTACAAAGGGAATAAGTATATGGGTAAATACAATAGATTTTCTTTTTCCACTTGCCCCCTATAAACTATGTTTTAGAGCAAAAATTCTAACACTGGTAGGTTCTCAAGTTATATAGAAGAAATATTTAAAAATCAGTCATATTGTATATAAAGGCAGGCAAAGAGGTATAGATAATGCTAATATTTTTATATGCAAATAGGTAAAATGGTAACTAGTGCATGTATGTATAATACTTTATTCTAGGTATGAAAATGCTATATAAACAGACTAAAAATGCTACAGATAAATTAATTTTATAAAATGTTAAGAAAGCCACTAAAAGGGAGAAAAAAAAAAAAAAAACAGAAACCAAAAACTGGGAACTGAAAAATTAAAATAATAGACAATAGCCCTTCTATATGAATGAATGCATCATAAGTAAGCAGTCTAAATTTACCAATTAAATGACAAGATTTGGCAAGGTGTATTAAAATAAAACAAAAAGAACCAACTGGGAGCAGTGTCTCACGCTTGTAACTCCAGGACTTTGGAAGGCTGAGGTAAGCAGATCACTTGAGGCCAGGAGTTTAAAACAAGCTTGGGTAACAAAGTAAGACCTTATCTCTATTATAATTAAAAATAATTTCTTTTAAAAAACCCACAAAGATCCAATGATATACTGTCTATAAGAAATTACCTTCAAATATACCAAGGTGGGTAAACTTAAAAACAAAGAATGGGAAAACATCATTCATGCATTAATTAAAAAAAAAAAAGGGTGGTTATATTAGTATGAGACAAAGCAGACTTCAAAGAAAATTACCAGCAACGAAGGAGGACATTATATAATGTAAATGATAAAAACATTAAAAAAATTTTTATCTCAATCCTGTTCCTTCTGCAAGAAACTCTTGATATACTAGTAATAGTGGAAAACTTCCTCACCTCGATAAAGAACATAATAAAAAAAGAAAGCCAAGAAGACAGGGCAATCCCAAGTGTGTTTGTACCAAACAAATGAACTGTAAAATATGTGAAGCAAGCACTGATAGAACTGAAAGGAGAAACAGACAAATCCACAATTGTTGGAGACTTCACACTCCTCAATCTCAATAATTGATGTAACTAGGAAAAAAAACAGCAAGTATATACATGAACTCAACAACAACATTAACAGGATCTACTTGACATTTTTAGCAAATTCCACACAATAAAAGCAGAATATACATTTTCTTCAAGTGCCCATAGAACATATACAAAATAGGCAATATCTTGGGTCATAAAACAAACCTTAGCACCTTTGAAATAATTACTAACATACATTGTGTTCTCTGAATACAGTGGATCAAACTAGAAAACAGTAATAAAACAGAAAAGCAAACTTTTTTAAATCTTGGAAACTAAACAATACACTACTATAGAATCCTTGGTTGAAGGAATCTTAAAAGAAGTAAAAAATATATACATTGAGCTGAGTGAAAATGAAAATATACCATATCAAAATTTGAGACACATATTAAAGCAGTGCTGAGAGGGAAATTTATAGTACTAAATGCATACATTAAAAAAAAAGTAAGAGTCTCAAATCAATAGTCTAAGCTGCTACCTCAATAACTTAGAGAAAGAAGACCAAAATAACTCAAAACAGCAGAAAATGGAAAAAATAAGAGCAGAAATTAATAAAATTGAAAACAGAATGACAGGAGAAAATCACTGAACAATAATAAGCTGGGTCTTTAAAAAGATCAATAATATTGACAAACCTGTAGCAAAACTGGCAAACCTCTAGCAAAATTGGGAAAGGCACCCAAAAACAAAACAGAGAATACCACTAAAGACTCTGCAGAAATCAAACAAACAAAAAGAAAATATTACAAATATATCTATACACATAAGAGAAACCACATAATCATATCCACAGATGCGAAAAAGCATTTAACAAGATTCAACATTCATTTGTTATTTAAAAAATTAGTTCTCAACTTGACAAAGAACATCTAAAAAAAAAAAGACACCTATGGCTAACATCAAACTTAATGGTGAAGACTAGATGCTTTGCCCCTATAATTAGGGAAAAAAGGTAAGAATGTCTATTTTCCCTACTATTATTCAACATAAAACTGGAAGTTCTAATAGTGAAAAGCATTCAGATAGGACAGAAAAAAAATGGCTCTATTTGCAGATGACATAGTGGTCTAAGTAGAAAATCTTTAAAAACAAATCTTTGAAAAACAAACAATAAAAACTTCCTATAACTTGTAGTGACTCTAGCAAGTATTCAGGATGCAAAAAATGACATTTAAAACTCAATTGGGAGCCTGGTGAAGTTGCACACATATGTAATTCTAGCTACTCAAGACACAGAATGCCAGAAATTCAAGGCTATTGTGCACTATAATCACACCTGCAAATAGCCACTGCACTCTAGACTGGGCAATATAGCAAGACCCAATCTCAAAAAATTGTATTTATATACACTAATAATTAACCTGTGTAAGCTAAAAATTGCATATGAAAGAAGTCAAACAAAAGAGGCTGTATAATTCAATCCTATGACATTCTGAAAAAGGTAAAACCATGGAAACTAAAAAGATCAGTAGTTGCCAGAGGTGAGGGAGATGGGAGGTGTAAATAGGAGGAGCATAGAGGAATTTTAAGGCAGTGAAACTATTCTCTGTAATACTATAATAATGGATACATGTCATTATACATTCATCAAGACCCATAGAATATCCAGCACCAACTGAAAACCCTAATGTAAGCTGTAAACTGTGGCAATAATGATGTGTCTCTGTAGGTTCATCAACTGTAACAGATGTACCACTGTGGTTCAGGGTGTCAATAGTAGGAGAGGTTGTGCACGTATTAGGGCAGGTAGTATACAGGGCACTCTCAGTACTCTCTGTTCCATTTTGCTGTGAATCTAAAACTGCTCTAATAAATAAAAACTATTTTTAAAATATCAAGACACTGTGTGTGTTCCACAAAAATGTTGTCTACTCTGACCTTGTTATGAAGTTTCTGATTTAATAAAGCTGTTTCCAGACAACTACTGTTATTCCTCCTCTGAAGCTTCAATTTACAATCTCAAAACTTCCTTAGGCTATTTTAATTTAATCTAGTACATATCATTTAGGTTACATGTAAAAATTAGTACAATATATTCTGATATCAGAGAGATAAGACACTTTTTAATGTAAAATCTTAAAAGACCAGGAAAGGTAAAATGCTAAAGAAATAAATCACAGAACACATAATATAGAAAAATTACCATTTACAATTCCTCAAAAGATATTTATATATAAATCTAACAAAACACATACATGACTTGTATACTGAAAATACACAATACTAATGAAAGAAATCAAAGATCTAAATAGATGGAGAAACATACCATCATATCAAGTTCATGGATTAGAAGACTTCAAGACAGCAAAAATGTCACTTTTCCCCAAAATAATATACAAGTTTAACGTAACTAATCAAAATCATAGAATCTTTGTACATATATACAAAATTATTCAAATTTACATGAAAAGGTGAAGGAATCAGAACACCTATAATAATTCTCAGAAAGAACCAAACAGGAGGAACCACTATACACAATTTCAAGTCACACATAATTAAGGGAGAGGTAGACACATGGATCAACAGAGATTCTGAGCACAGACTGCCTGGAATCTAGCTAGCTGCTGCTAATAAAACACTGTGGGTGTGATACCTACCTTGCCAAGTGCATGGGAGCTGGGTGGGGTTCACTGTCACCTGCTACTCCCCACCCCTATGTGAACTCTTCTGTGCAACAGAGGCAGCTGTACTTCTCCCTGTAACATTACCCCAGTGGCCAGAGAACTGCCTACTGACCGCTAGTGGGGCCACTGCTTGCCCCACACACAGAATCAGAGTGCAGACTTGTCTGACCTAGCCTCCACCTTGCTTGCCCCTCTACCTGCCCTAGTAGATTAACACAAACAAAAGAAACTTTTGGAAGTACGATGGCACTGTCCATTGCCTGAGACACCAGAGTACCTTCCCTGGGGAACATAAGGCAAGCACAAATCCCACCAGTACCACTGCAGTTGGCACTCTTTGGCAAATACCACCTCCTAGCTGGAGGCCAGCCAACACAGTCCATTATAGCATCTGTAGGTAAAATAACACAGTGCTAAGGAAGAGGAAAACCTGTGTGGCTTCAGTTGTCACAACTGCCTATACTACCTGGCTAACTAGGAGGTCCCGAGTCTGTCCATATGACTAGTTCATAACTACTAGAATTGGCATTTGAGAAACCAAACACACTGAGGCTATTTATAATCAGGCAGCCTCAGAGTCTACGTCACTCCCCTGCCACCATCAACAGAACTGGCCCCGGTACCCACTGCTGGAAGATTTGAGGACAACTCATATCACTAGATTCCTTTCAGATATTCACCTGCACCAGTCAGTGTGGCAACCCCACTGGGTGGCTAGCCCCAGCAGAGCAATTACAGTAGTTTGGCTCTCAGGGACTCCCACTACTGCAGAAACCAGTATACCATATGAAGGGAGCATCCTGTGTGACAAAAGAATCCAGATGGCAGGCCTTGAGTTCCAGAATCTTCGTTTGTGGGAAGTTTCTTTCAGCAAAGGCACAGGTGCAGTGCTGGGCTTAGTGGGGAAACTGTAGCTCTACTAAGACTTCCTTTCTCCCCAAATCCACCACTGCAGACAGAGCTGGGGTTTCTCCCATGGGAGCTTCACATGGCTGCACCTATAGACAGCCTTTCTAGAACATGTCAGGGTGACTGCATTCCCACAGGAAGAGTACCCTCCAGGTTTAGAGTTGCATGTGGGGTAGAGTCACACTCCCTCTCTACTTGGAACACCAATGTTTCCGCAGATGAAAAGAGGTACCTGTCTGATCTTAACAGCCAGAACACTGGTCAGGAGTGTGAGTAGGAGGTGGTTCACATTCCTGATGGCCTGGCCATGGAGCTGAGGAGCTGAGGAAAAGTCAGAGTGCAGAGTATCTCTACTTCTTTTACTTTGGATAGATACAGCGATGGAGGGATGGGAGCAGGGGTTAAAAACTACCTGTTGGGTGCTCACTACATGGATGCAATATACGGTTGAGATTCACTCGAGGTGGCTGGCAAAATATTAGGGAATGTTATAAATCAGTCTGAAATCTTCTGGAAGGCCAAAAGGTTTTATTGGGGCAAGTTGAAGGCAGCTGCCATGATAGGGAAGAGATAGGGAAGACAAAAGGCTTTTCCAGTTTAAGTCTGTTTACCCACATGCCTTTGTCTCTACTCTGTTTACTCATGCCAACTTTGTGCTGGACGGTCCTCTGCGGGCGGCAGGAATCAAAGGGGAATTACCTGCTAAGAGTGTTTACTCTGGTCCTGGAACCTAAAGCTTTTACCATTCATAAAAGCACTCTTTTAACCATGTTAATTGTCCACAAGAGAGTTGACTTAGAACCTCTGTTAGGAAATCTTTACTGAATAAAGGTGTGAATGTACAGGGAGTCTTGGGCGATTGGTTGCATTTCACCCTCTGAAAGCAGCCAACAACCATCCCAGCTGACTTGAATCACTGTAATGGTGTGAGAATAAATTTATTCATCCGTTTGTTGGGCCAGGGTCTGCAGACCAGACCTCTGCACATAGTGATAAACATCTCAATATACTGTGCTCACTAACTAACTGTGCTCAGTACCTGGATGCAATAAACTCAAGTAACAAACCTGAATCTAAAATAAAATTGAAGTTTTAAAAAATGTACCCCCTGGATCTAAAATAAAATTGAACTTTTAAAAATATGTCGTTTGCAGCAACATGGATATAGCTGGAGGCCACTATTCCAAGTGAAGTAACTCAGGAATGGATAATCAACAACCATATGGTCTCAGTCATGAGCTGAGAGAGAGGGAGATAAGCTATGGATATGCAAAGGCATACAGTGTGGTATGATGAACTTGGAGACTCACGAAGGAGGATGAGAAGGGAATGAGGGATTAAAAAACTACATGCTGGGGTCGGGCGCGGTGGCTCACGCCTGTAATACCAGCACCAAGAGATCAAGACCATCCTGGTCAACATGGTGAAACCCCATCTCTACTAAAAATACAAAAAATTAGCTAGGCATGGTGGCACGTGCCTGTAATCCCAGCTACTCAGGAGGCTGAGGCAGGAGAATTGCCTGAACCCAGGAGGCGGAGGTTGTGGTGAGCCGAGATTGCACCATTGCACTCCAGCCTGGGTAACAAGAGCGAAACTCCGTCTCAAAAATAAATAAATAAATAACTACATACTGGGTACAAAAATCTCAGACTTCACCACTATGTAATCCATCTACATAACCAAAACTGCTTGTACTCCAAAAGCGATTGAAATAAAATTAAAAAAAAAAAAATTCAAGCCACGTATCAAGGATAGCAGAGCCACCCTATTTCAGCCTCTGACTATATACCTCTGAACTGTTTCAATAGAGTAATAAACGTCTATCATATTAAAAAAAATAGATCTAGAACTCCAAATAAATCCACACAAATATGCTCAACTAATTTTTGACAAAGGTGCAAAAGCAATTCAATGGGAGAAAGAGAGCTCTTTCAAAAATTGCTGCAAGTACAATCAGATGTCCACAGCCAGAAAATGAATTTTGACCTAACCCTCTCACCTTATGAAAAAAACATTTAATTCAAAATGGATAACAAATCTAAAATGTAAAATGCGAAACTAAGTTTTAGAAGGAAATAGAAAAAATAATCTTTTGGATCTAGGGATTGAAGAGTTTGCACGACACTAACAGCAGGATCTATAAAAGAATAAAAATCAGTAAGTCAGACTTCATCAAAATTAAAACTTTGCTCTTCAAAAGGCCTTGTTATAATAATGAAAAGACAAGCCATAGACCAGGAGAAAATATTTGCAAACCATATTTCCAACAAATGACTCATACCTAAAATATATTTTTAAAATTTCCAAAATACCATACTTAAAAATCCAGCATAGGACCAGGCACAGTGGCTCACACCTGTAATCCCAGCACTTTGGGAGGCCGAGGCGGGTGGATTACAAGGTCTAGAGATCGAGACCATACTGGTCAACATGGTGAAACCCCGTCTCTACTAAAAATACAAAAAAATAGCTAGGCACGGTGGCGCGGGCCTGTAATCCCAGCTACTCACGAGGCTGAGGCAGAATTGCCTGAACCCAGGAGGTGGAGGTTGCAGTGAGCCGAGATCGTGCCACTGCACTCCAGTCTGGTTAACGAGTGAAACTCCGTCTCAAAAAAAAAAAAAAAAAAATCCAATAAATGATCATAAAACACGAAAAGGCGTTTCACTTTAGAAAATATATGAATAGTAAATAAACATATGAAAAGATGTTTAACATCACTAGTCATTAGAGAAATACAAATTAAGAGACAATACCCTTACACACTTATTAGAACAGCTAAAGAAAAAAGGAACAATACCAAATGTTTGATGAGGGGGCAAAAAAACTGGATATAGCAGCCTGCCTTGGGGGTTAGGTTCCAAAACCCCAGTGGATGTCTGAAGCCACAGACAGTACTGAGCCCTATTTATATCTAGATATAAATATGTAGCTATCCTTAGATTTTTTTGTATGCATACATAAAATGGTTTAATTTATAGGCAAAGTATGAGTTAACAATGAAACGTCTTTGGCAAAGTGAAATGATGCATGCACAGGGGAGACTCAAGAGAGCATGGCAAATGTAAAAACCAAGCAGGATTTGGTAACTGCTTCATCCTCCATCCTACACAGAACAACCAACAGTAGGTGGAAGGCTTATGGACTCAAGTGTTTGATCTTAACCTTTGTCCAAATGATTGGCTGATGGCTAAATTATGCAGACACAGGGACTACCCTAGTAGGCATAAATACATTTTGAAATGAATTTAAAAACTAAGCACAGGAAGATCCCAGATGACCCTTTTAAAGACAGCTCAGGATTGCAGCTCCCAGTGAAAGCGCAGAGGGTGAGTGGACCCCGCATTTCCAGATGGATCTTTATTGCCCACAGACCAGGAGATTCCTAGGCAAAGGAGCTTTATGGGTCACCAGCGCAGCTGTTTTGGATGGCGTGGCTGTTTTGCTGGCGCTGCTACGCGGTGGCTCTCCATACAAAATACACTGGTCTGGTTGCCCTTTTAAGCTGGCCAGGAGATTCCCAGGCAGTGCCGTTGTTTCAGCTAGCGCAGTGGGTCGCCTCACAGGAAATCACACAGATCCCAGCACCCTTTCAGCAGGCGACTGGAACACCTAGGAGAAAGTCAACCGTTCAACTTAAAAAAAAAGGGCTCTGAGGTAGGGAGCCAGGTGATCAAGCTTGGCGGGTCCCACCCCACACACACACACACACACACACACAAAACGGCAATTGGAAACGCTCGGGGTTGAGAGTTTCACGGCAAGCATAGCTGAACCCAGGATGGTGCAGCTCGGTGGGGGTGGGGCGTCCGCCATTACTGAGGCACTCCATCCCTACGGAGGTAGTACACCATTGCTGAGGCAGCTTGCCATTGCCGAGGCAACCCGCCGTTGCCAAGGCAACCTGCCATAACAGAGAGAGCCCGCCATTACAGAGGCGGGCCACCATTGCCGAGGCCGTTCTAACCACACCCATATAAACAGGACTACAGGGAAGCTCAACAGTAGCAGGGCGGAGCTCAGCATAGCCTCTGCAGGCAGGTAGACAGTGACTAGGCTGCCTCCTAGCTGGGCAGGGCAGCCCTGAAAAAAAAACAAGGCAGCAGCACAACAGACACTCATAAAGCCTAACTCCCCGGGACAGAGCACCTGGGGAAAAAAAGGGGGTTTATGAGTTCTGCTGCAGCAGACTTAAACGTACCTGTCTAGCCTGTCTAGCAGCTCTGAAATAACAACAGAGCTCACAGCTCAACACTTGAGCTCCTATAAAGAACAGACTGTCTCCTCAAACAGCTCCCTGCCCCATATATCCAAAGAGTTGCCTCACAAAAGACTGATCAGACTGACATTTGGTGGGCATCATTCTGGCACAAAGATAGCAGAAGGAACTGGTAGCAACCCTTACTGTTCTGCAGCAGCTGCAAGTGACCCCCAGCAAGCAGGGCCTGCAGTGGACCTCAGCAGTCCTACAGCAGAGGGGCCAGACTGTTAGGAGGAAAACTAAGAAACAGAAATAACTTCATCAACAACCTGGACATCCACTCAGAGACCCAATCTGAAAATCAGCAACTACACAGACAACAGGTGGATAAATCCACAAATATGGAAAAACCAGCACAAAGAGGAGGAAAACATCCAAAACCAAAACACCTCGCCTCCTACAAGGGATCAAAACTCCGCACCAGCAAGGGAACAAAGCTAGGTGGAGAAGGAGTGTGATGAAATGACAGAATCAGAATTCAGAAGGTGGGTAATGAGAAACTTCTGTGAGCTAAAAGAACATGTTCTAACTCAATGCAAAGAAACTATGACCTTGAAGAAAGATTTGAGGAAATGATAATAAGAATGGACAACTTAGAGAGGAATATAAGTGAATTGATGGAGCTGAAAAACACAACACGAGAACTTTGTGAAGCATGCACAAGTTTCATCAGCTGAATTGACCAAGCAGAAGAAAAAATATCAGAGGTCAAAGATCAACTCAATGAAATAAAACGAGAAACCAAGATTAGAGAAAAAAGCACAAAAAGGAATGAACAAAGTCTCCAAGAAATGTGGGACTATGTGAAGAGACCTAATCTACGTTTGATAGGTGTACCTGAATGTGATGAAGAGAATGAATCCAAGCAGAAAAATACTCTTCAGGATATTATCCCAAAAAACTTCCCCAACCTAGCAAGGCAGACCAATATTCAAGTCCAGGAAATACAGAGAACACCACAAAGATATTCCTCAAGAAGAGCAACCCCAAGGCACATAATCATCAGATTCACCAGGGTTGAAATGAAGGAGAAAATGCTAAGGGCAGCCAGAGAGAAAGGTCGGGTCACCCACAAAGGGAAGCCCATCAGACTCACAGCAGATCTCTTGGCAGAAACCCTACAAGCCAGAATAGAGTGGGGCCAATATTCAACATCCTTAAAGAAAAGAACTTTCAGCCCAGAATTTCATATCCAGCCAAACTGAGCTTCATAAGTGAAGGAAAAATAAAATCCTTTGCAAAGAAGCAAGTACTCAGAGATTTTGTCACCACCAGGCCGGCTTTACAACATCTCCTGAAAGAGGCACTACACATAGAAAGGAACAACCAGTACCAGCCACTCCAAAAACATACCAAATGCAAAAGAGCATCAACAAAATGAAGAATCTACATCAACTAATGGGCAAAACAGCCAGCTAGCATCAAAATAGCTGGATCAAATTCACACACAACAATATTAACCCTAAATGTAAATGGACTAAATGCACCAATCAAGACACAGACTGGCAAACTGGATAAAAAGCCAAAACCCATTCTTGTGCTGTATCCAGGAAACCCATCTCACATGCAAGGATACACAAAGGATCAAAATAAAGGAATGGAGGAAGATTTACCAAGCAAATGGAGAGCAAAAAGAAGCAGGAGTTGCAATTCTCCTCTCTGATAAAATAGACTTTAAAGCAACAAAGATCAAAAGAGACAAAAAACATTACATAATGGTAAAAGGATCGATACAACACGAGATACAACAACAATGATCCTAAATATATATAGACCCAATACAGGAGCACCCAGATACATAAGGCAAGTTCTTAACGACTTACAAAGAGACTTAGACTCCCACACAATAATAGTGGGAGACTTTAACACTCCACTGTCAATATTAGACAGATCAACCAGACAGAAAATTAACAAGGATATCCAGGACTTGAACTCAGACCTGGAATAAGCAAACCTGATAGACATTTACAGAACTCTCCACCCCAAATCCACAAAATATACATTCATCTCAGCACCACATCACACCTACTCTAACACTGACCACATAATTGGAAGTAAAGCACTCCTCAGCGAACGCAAAACAACTGAAATCATAACAAACAATCTCTCAGACCACAGTGCAATCAAGTTAGAACTCAGAATTCAGAAACTAACTCAGAACCGCACAGCTTCATGGAAACTGAACAACTGGCTCTTGAATGCTGACTGGATAAATAACGAAATGAAGGCAGAAATAAAGAAGTTCTTCGAAACCAATGAGAACGGAGACACAACAGACCAGAATCTCTGGGACACATTTAAAGCAGTTTCTAGCAGAAAATATACAGCAATAGGTGCCCACATGAGAAGAGTGGGGAGATCCAAAATTGACACCCTATCATCAAAATTGAAAGAGCTAAAGGAGCAAGATCAAAAAAACTCAAAACCTAGCAGAAGACAAGAAATAACTAAGATCAGAGCAGAACTGAAGGAGATAGAGACACAAAAAACCCTTCAGAAAATCAATAAATCCAGGAGCTGGTTTTTCGAAAGATCAACAAAATAGACCATTAGCCAGATTTTAAAAAAGAAAAGAGAATAACCAAATAGATGCAATAAAAAAGGATAAAAGGGAAATCACTACAGATCCCACAGAAATTCAAACCATCATCAGAGAATATTACAAACAACTCTATGCACATAAACTAGTAAACCTGGAAGAAACGGATAAATTCCTGGACACTTGCGTCCTCCCAGGCCTAACAAGAAGAAGTCGAAACCATGAATAGACCAATATCAAGATATGAAGTTGAGGCAGCAATTAAGAGCCTACCACACAAAAAAAGCCTATTTCCAGATGGGTTCACAACCGAATTCTACCAGACCCACAAAGAGAAACTGTTACCATACCTCCTGAAACTATTCCAAATAATCCAAAAAGAGGGAATTCTTCCCAAATCATTTTCTGAGACCAACATCATTCTGATACAAAACCCAGCAGAGACTCAACAAGAAAAGAAAACTTCAGGCCAATAACCATGATGAACATAGATGCAAAAATCTTCAATAAAATACTGGCAAGCCGACTGCAACAGCACATCAAAAAGCTTATCCACCATGATCAAGTAGGATTCATCCCAGGGATGCAAGGCTGGTTCAACATACGCAAGTCTATAAACGTAATTCACCACATAAACAGAACAAAAAACAAAAACCACATGATTATCTCAATTGACACAGAGAAGGCCTTTGACAAAATTCAACAGACCTTTATGCTAAAAACCCTCAATAAACTCGGTATTGATGGAACGTATCTCAAAATAATAAAAGCTATTTACGACAAACCAATAGCCAATATCATACTGAATGGGCAAAAACTGGAAGCATTCCCTTTGAAATCTGGCACTAGACAAGGATGCCCTCTCTCACCACTCCTATTCAATATAGTACAGGAAGTTCTAGCCAGAGCAATCAGGCAAGAAAAAGAAATAAAGGGTATTCAAATAGGAAAGGAGGAAGTCAAATTGTCTCTATTTGCAGACAACATGAGAGTATATCTAGAAGACCCCATCATGTCAGCCCAAAATCTCCTGAAACTGATAAGCAACTTCAGCAAAGTCTCAGGATACAAAACCAATGTGCAAACACAAGCATTCCTATACCAATAACAGAGTTAAAGAGAGCCAAATCAAGAACGAACTGCCATTCACAATTGCTACAAAGAGAATAAAATACCTAGAAATTCAACTAACAAGGAATGTAAAGGACCTCTTCAAGAATTACAAACCACTGCTCAATGAAATAAGAGAGGACATAAACAGATGGAGAAACATTCCATGTTCATGGTTAGGAAGAATCGTGAAATGGCCATACTGCCCAAAGTAATTTACAGATTCAACGCTATCCCCATCAAGCTACCAATGACCTTCTTCACAGACCTGGAAAAAACTACCTTAAACTTCATATGGAACCAAAAGAGAGCCCGCATAGCCAAGTCAATTCTAAGTAAAAAGAACACAGCGGGAGGTATCCCACTACTGGACTTCAAACTATACTACAAGTCTACAGTAATCAAAACAGAATGGTACTGGTAACAAAACAGATATAGACCAATGGAACAGAACAGAGGCATCGGAGGCAACACAACGTATCTACAACCATACAATGTTTGATAAACCTGACAAAAACAAGCAATGGGGAAAGTATTCCCTGTTTAATAAATTGTGTTGGGAAAACTGGCTGGCTATGTACAGAAAGTAGAAACTGGACCCCTTCCTGAAACCTTACACTAAAATTAGTTCCAAATGGATTAAAGGCTTAAACAATAAGACCTAACACCATAGAAACACTAGAAGAAAATCTAGGCAAAACCATTCAGGACATAGGAGTAGGCAAGGACTTCATGAACAAAACACCAAAAGCATTGGCAAGAAAAGCCAAAATAGACAAATGGGACCTAATCAAACTCCACAGCTTCTGCATGGCAAAAGAAACAGTCACTAGAGTGAATCGGCAACCAACAGAATGGGAAAATATTTTTGCAGTTTGCCCATCTGACAAAGGGCTGATATCGAGAATTTACAAAGAACTAAAACAGATTTACAAGAGAAAAACAAGCCCAATCAAAAGTGGGCAAAGGATATGAACAGACACTTTACAACAGAAGCCATACATGAGGCCAACAACATGAAAAAAATGCTCATCATCACTGGTCATTAGAGAAATGCAAATCAAGACTATATTGAGATACCATCTCATGCCAGTTAAAATGGTGATCATTAAGAAATCTGGAGACAACAGATGCTGGAGAAGATGTGGAAAAACAGGAACACTTATACACTACTAGTGGGAGTGTAAATTAGTTCAACCATTGTGGAAGACAGTGTGGTGATTCCTCAAGGACCTAGAAATTGAAATTCCATTTGACCCAGCAATCTCATTACTGGGTATATATCCGAAGGATTATAAATCGTTCTACAATAAGGACACATGCACATGAATGTTCATTGCAGCACTGTTTACAATAGAAAAGACCTGGAATCAACCCAAATGCCCATCGATGATAGACTGGACAGGGAAAATGTGGCACATATACACCATGGTATATTATGCAGCAATAAAAAACAATGAGTTCCTGTCCTTTGTAGGTACATGGATGAACCTGGAGAACATCAGTCTCAGCAAACTGACACAGGAACAGAAAATGAAATACTGCATATTCTCACTCATAGGCGGGTGTTGAACAATGAGAACACATGGACACAGGGAGGGGAGCACTACACACTGGGGTCTGTTGGGGGGAATAGGGGAGGGATGGTGGGAGGTGGGGAGTTGGGGAGAGATAGCATGGGGAGAAATGCCAGATATAGGTGTAGGGGAGGAAGGCAGCAAATCACACTGCCACATGTGTACCTATGCAACTATCTTGCATGTTCTTCACATGTACCCCAAAACCTAAAATGCAATAAAAAAAAAAAAACTAAGCACAGACAGCAATAACTTTACATCATTTGTAAGACAGATTCCACAATTTGAGTTCAGCCAAAATGTTAAATTTAAAACAATACAAATCCCTTAGATATAAAACAAAATTGAGCTGCTATAATATACTACCTAAAATGTCCAGCTGTCAACCAAAAATTATTAAACATGGGAAAGTGAGATATATGAAAGGAAAAAAAGCAGTCAGTGAATACTAAGTCTGTATGAGCCCAGATATTTGATTAGTCAAGACTTCAATAAGACTTTGTAACAAATACATTCAAAGAATTAAAGATAAATTCAAATTGAGTCAATAATAAAGAAATCACAATAAAAAAAATATGAAGTATAAACAAAGAGCCAGCACATTTCATTCTACGTAAGTCTTACCACCAAGTTTCTTTAAATGTGTATATTTAACAGTTAAATAAGACCTGAAAAGGGAGTTGGCCTAAAAATAATTTACCATTAAACATCAGTTTCTTCTGAGTTAATAATTCTATGCTAACCATGCCAAAAAACCTTGATTAGACTTTGTGGCTTATATTTATTTGATATTAAAAAGCAAAGTTGAGTTCACACACAGAAAGCAATGGCAAAGGACACTGCCTCCAACAGAAAATATGAACCAAAACATGATGGAAAAACATTTATATGTAATATAATAAATAGATGTCATGTGAACATAGACACATAGGGCTAGAATACCATGTGATAATAGAAGTAGACTGAAATGCTACATGTGCAAGCTGGAATGCCAGAAATTGCCAGTAAACCACCAGAAGTTAGGAATAAGGAAGAATTCTCTCCGTTACAGTTTTTCAAAGACATCATCGTCCTGACAACACCTTGATTTCAGACTTCTAGCTTCTAGAACTGAGATAATAAATTTCTGTTGCTTTAAGTCACTCAGTTTGTATAGTATTTTGTTAAACAGTTCTAGGAAATTAATACAAATATGCCACCTACCACAGTTCTCTCCCATTGGACTATTTAATAATCAATGATTTAAAATAAGTGTTTGGAAAAGATGTTTTTTAATCAACAGATATATTAATCAGGTCTCTTTTGATAAAGAAATGCCCTATATTTCATTTTCATATTCTTGTCATATTATAAAAACAATATCATAAATGTGGGTATTGCTACAAGCTATTATGTATAGTCACTTAAAAGCTAAAAAAAACAACGTGGGAGTTAGAAATGTTTATGAAATACCAGTCTAGAGAAAAATGAATAAAATTTTTATTTTAAAACATCATGTGATTACCAAGATAAATTTCCCAACTATACAAACTGTTTTTACATATACATATATACACACACATACACTGAAGCTTGGTTTATCTTTCATCTTTTTATCTGAGTAAAAAGAAGAACACTTTCCTCATTCAGGAGATTTTTGATGTTATAATAGTTACCTAAAAGTAAAGTGATAAGAAAACAAAAGTTATTTCCACAGGAATCATTTCCTTTGATTATGTATTCAGTCATCACCTGACAGTTGTAGTATAGGACACAAAATAAAAACAATTCACCTAACTTAAAGCAACTTATTTAATTTCATGAACTAAAATATCAAGAGTTAACCATGATACATAATCCAGATAAGGCTTGAGACAATATAAATTTCACATCATTATGGTAAAAAAAAAAAAATGCAGAGATAAGTCAGTCAAGAGTTTAAAAAAAGAAAATCTCTTTCTGAAATCAATCTTTATTAGGTCTGTAGAACTGCCGTGGATTCCCCTAAACCAGACATACTCCTATATAGATGAGTATAAAAGGTACAATGTTAAGTAAAAAATCAAAATTTAAAAAAGGTAAATGCTACTCTTAAATAAATAAGGTAATAAATAACAGCAAAAGTGAAATACAGATGGACCACAAGTATCCCATGTGACAGGCTTATCAGAATTGGGTATTATCACTGTGACTTTCTATATCTTGGAAATTGAGAAAGTTCACAATTGAGAAAATTCCTAAGAGTGCTCACATATTAAGGACATAAGCATGACTATTACTACTGTCTCCTTCTAAAGAATGTAAGCTCTATAACAGCAGGGATCTTTGCCTGTTTTGCTCATTTTATATCCCAAACTCTTGCAGGAATACATGGACATAGTAGAAACTTTGTTTTGTTTTTGAGACAGACTCTCAGTCTGCCACCCAGGCTGGAGTATAGTAGCACAAACATAGCTAAATGCAACCTTGAAATACTGGGATCAAGCAATCCTCCTGTCCCAGCCTCCCGAGAACGAGGACTATAGGTGTGCATCACCATGTCTGGTTAATTTCCGCATTTTTTGTAGAGATAGGTTCTCCCTATGCTGCCCAGGCTAATCCTGAACTCCTCACATCAAGCCCTCCTCAGCCTCTCAAAATGTTGGGATTATAAGTGTTAGCCACTGCACCTGGCTCCTAGTAGCATCTTAATTATACTTGTTGAATGAGTGCATGAATGTCAAGTGGATTAAAATACTTACTTACCATGACTTCTGCTGTTCAATAGTGGATGAAGCATACCATTCTTTAAACAGTTTAAAATAATGTTCTAAAAACATAATTTCTTAGAGGTAACATGGGGAAAACAATTTTTCTTCTACTCTGGAATATAACATATCTTCTGAGTAAATATTTTTACATTTCGTAGTAAACAACTCTTGTTCTCATGTATCATAACACTAACTGGCTCACACCTGTAATCCCAGCACTCTGGGAGGCTGAGGTGGGCAGATCACTTGAAGTCAGAAGTTCAAGACCAGCCTGGCAAACATGGCAAGTGCCGTCGCTACTAAAAATACAAAAAGTAGCCAGGCATGGTGGTGCACACCTATAGTCCTAGCTCCTCAGGAGGCTGAGGGCCAAGAATCACCTGAACCCTGGAGGCAAAGGCTGCAGTGAGCCGAGATCACGACACTGCACTCCAGCCAGGGTGAGAGTGAGACTCTGTCTCAAAAAAAAAAAAAAAAAAAAAAAAACCACACAATAAAATGCTAATATGCTTACCTAATGATAACATGAAAGGAAAATATGTACCAAACTGTTTTGACATCCATCAGTCGTATCACACTTCATTTTGACCACTGTGGCTTTCATTTCCATGGTGCCCAAAAACAACTATATAGATATTGTCTAAGTGAAATAAATTGTCCTTAATTATAGTTACCTGAAGGAACATAGAATGAATCTCCAGTACTTATTATATAAGGTGTTTCGTGTAAAGTACACAAAAGGTCTCCAAAGTTAACATAAAAAACCTGTAAAAATAAAAAATCTCATTCAAAATTGAACCATGACAATACTCCAAAGGAACTTTAAAATGTAGTGGGAAAAAAAACAACTTCCCAGAAATGTGCCTGTTTTAATCTCTGTAACTTGTAAATACATTAAATTTCATGGCAAAAAGGGCATTGACATGGGGAGGTTATCTTTGATAATGTAGGTGGGCCCAATCCAAACACACAGACCCTTAAAAATAAGTACTTTAAAAAACAAAACAAAACAAAACAAAAAAACAACCCACTTACAGAAGCAGGGGAGAAATGAGGCAGAATGAAGTCTCAGAGATCTGAAGCATGAAAAGGACTTGCACCATTGCCAGCACTAAAGATGTGGGGCCATATGCCAATAAACATGGGTTATTTCTAGAAACTGGCCAACAGTCAGTGAGGAAATGGGAACTTTAGTCCCACAACCACCTGAACCTGATTCTGCCAACAATCTGAAAAAGACTGGAAGCAGATTCATCCTCACATCCTCCAAAAAGAAATACAAACCTGCCAACACCTTGATTCCAGTCCTGTAATACACTAAACAGAATACCTAGTCAAGCTCATGGTTATCTCTACATAACAGTGAGATAAATAATAAAAAAGAGTCTTGTTTTAGTGGTTAAATTTGTGCTAGTCATGTACTGTATAACAGTGTTTCAGTCAACATCCAAATGCATACACAATAGTGGTCCTATAAGGTTACAATGGTGTTAAAAAATTTTATTGTCTAGTGACCTCACAGCCATCATGATATCCTAATGAAAAGTATTACTCACGTGTTTGTGGTGATGCTTATGTAAACAAACCGACTGCACTGCCAGTCACATTAAAGTATAGTACATACAGGAAAAAGTGGAGGATAGAAGGTAGGATAACTTGCAGCTCCCACTTGCATGGACAGAACAGTGTGTGGAGACTCATATCAGGAACTTTTGCTCCAAGAACTATTGCAGGAACGTATCAGGAAAACTGAAAGAATTCACAGACTCTTTTTAAAGAAGTGGCTTACCACTGTAAACTCCATGAGACAGCTGAAAAACTGTTGAGTGTCCAAAGTATGAGAGGGGGAAAGTCTGCCTCCAAACAAATCCTTACTGGGGAACCTGAAAATCCAGGTCATGAGAGAAGGATTTAACCTTACCTAGAGCTAAAACAAATTTAGAAAGCCAAGGGAAATGTAATAGGAGAAGCAGACGCTGGAAGAGCTCTGTAGGTACTCCTGGTTTCCAAGGAGGCCCAGGCAAGCCATTTCTGACTTTATCTCACGGAAGTCCTCGAGAAGGGCTGCCAGTGGCATTGGGGAAGGACCACAGAAAGGAAACTTCCAGCTGAACTTTAAATAATTTTGGCCTTGCGTGAATTATCCTGGGCAGAATTGAAGAAAGGGCAAATAGAAAGTTCAGGTACAAGCCAGGGTAGGTGACAAGAGGCAGGGCCTGCAGGCCCTGCTTGCTTTCTCAGCAGGGAGGCTTTGTAGCCTGGGGGAAAATGTCAGTCCTGCTCACAGGCTTCCTGGATACAAACTTGGTTGGGGAGGCACAGTGGGAGTGAGAATGGCCTAGCCTGGCTGCATGGGAGCTGGGTGAGGTCTGCCTGCTGGCTTCCCCCACTTCCTTGGTGATACTGATGACACAGTGGAGACATATGTATCTGCTGATGACAGTGTCATACTGATGACACAGTGGAGGCAGCCATAATCCCTCTGGGAACGCAACTCCAGTGGCCTGAGAACTACACTCTCATCCCCTACAGTGGTCACAGCAAGCTCAGTCCAAAGAAAGGCTGAGCTCAGATAAACCTAATCAATCGTACCTCCACCTGAGGTCTTTCTCTAAGTGCCCTGTAGCCAAAGATGATTTCTTCCTTATGAAAATCTAATGCCAAATCCCACTGCCACCATCAATTTTTGTGGAAAAAATCTGGTCTTTCACAAACCAGTCCTTGGTGCCAAAAAGGTTGGGGACAGCTGTAATACAGGAAGAGGTTTCTTTGTTTTTCCTTATTATTTACTGGCTTATGAAAATTCTAGAGCCACTGTAAAGATTATCACCTACACTAGAAAAATACCTAGGCTTTTTGTATGCCTCTTTAAAGGTCACATGCTTAGGACAACAAACTACTCAATCTAATTGAAGAATCAAAGAAAACAAAAAGCTAAATTCCTATTCCCCTCAAAATCATATATTAAACATCAAGATTAAGAAAGAAAAAGAGGATAAATCTCTCAATCATGCTGGCTTCCATATTCAAACATAGCAAATTTCATACTTTATACATTAACAGCATGCTGGCAGTGACCTGGGGTTTTTTTTGGCAACTAAAATAAAAAGCATAAGGTCTTCAAACTTTGAGATTCAGCCATTGTTAGAGATTAGCGTGTCCCCTGAAAATTCATATTTTGAAATCTTAACCCCCAGTGTGATGGTATCAGGAGGTGGGGAATTTGGGAGGTAATTAGGTCATGAGCACAGAGCCTTCAGGAATGGGATTAGTGCCTCTGTAAGAGACACAGATCAAAGTCTACGGTATTCTTATTATAGCAACCCAATCTGACTAAGACATGCATCAAGAATGTTTTGCCTCAGATAATTATTTCTCCTTCTTTTTTATTACTACTTTGTATAATAATCATAATATACCAGAATAAAAATAACAGCTAGCACTTATATAGCACTTATACTGTACCGGGCAGTATTATGAGCACTTTATTCTTATTTGGTTAATGTATATGCCCACTAATGAGACACTATTTCAGTAGCTTTTCATGGATGAAGAAACTGAGGCAAAGAGAGGTTAAGTATTTTCCAAAGTCACAAGGTAAATGGCAAAGCTGGGGTTTGAACTCAGAGATTTTGATTACAGAATTCATTCCCTAACCACTGTGATATGCCGCCTCCCTAAATGGCGGGGGAAGCCCCCTGAAATTTTCCAAAGGTATTTTTATAACTTAATAATCAACAAAAAAGTTCTTATTACACCCAAAAAGAATTTGCCTCAATCAAAAAGAACGTAGGTTCCGCCTGGTTCTTTTTTATTTCTTACATTTAATCTATTGAAAACATTAAGCAGCTTGCCACAAAAATCTTCATGCAATTGGATTTTGCTGATTACATTCCCAGGTGTCATTTGAAAGCTTTCACCATTTTATTTCTTGTAAACTGGTAGTTAAATCTGGAGACTTTATCAGATTCAGGTTTTGTATTTGCTTTTGAATTTTTTTGATTATTTTTTTCCCCCCAAAGGCATTGAGAAAGCAAGACTTCTTGGATAGTGCTGTATTTTTATATCAGAAGGCACAAAAAGAAAAAAGTAATACTAGAAAGTCAAGTATATATTTCTAGTATTTTTTCCTTATCTATTCAATTTGGTTCTCTAAGCACACTTCTCTTCATTTCTACAAACATTTAATTAAGAAAGCTTTTGAAACATACAAAAATAGAATGATGAACTCTCACGAATACTTAACCACCTGCCCAAGCCAATATTAACCTCCTGTCCAGGCTAGTCTACTATCCTCATTCCATATTATTTTGAAATAAATTCCCAGTATCATAATTCATCAGCAAATATATCAATATGTACTTAAAGATCAAGTGCTTCTAAAAAACATAACCACAACACTATTATCACACCTAAAAATGAATGTATATTTAATACCAAATATCTAGGCAATGGTCAAATTTCCAATCATCTGTTAAATGTATCTTCAAGGGTTTCTTTGAATCAGGATCCAAATTAGCACCACATACAGTGATTGTTGATCTGTTTATTAAATTTCTCAATCAATATTAATTAGTGGTTCTCAATCAAGGTGATTTTGCCTTAGGACAACTGACAATTTATGAAGACATATTTAATTCTGTCACAACTAGAGCGGTGCTACTGGAATCTAATGAGTATAGGTCAGGTAAGCTTCTAAATATCCTACAACAAACACGACAGTCCCCACTACAACAAAAAAATTATCTAATCAAAAATGTTATTAGTGCCGTGGCTGAGAAACCCTGATTCCCTAGGTTCCACCTGGTTATTTTTTATTTCTTACACTTAATTTATTGAAAATATTAAGCAGCTTGCCATGAAAATCTTCATGCAGTTGGATTTTGCTAATTACATCCCCAGGTGTCATTTGAAAGGTTTCACCATCCTTTATTTCTTGTAAACTGTCAGTTAAATCTACAGACTTGATCAGAGTCAGGTTTTTTATTTGCTTTTGGGCTTTCTTGATTGTTTATGGGTTTTTTTTTTGTTCCTTTCTTAAGGCATGGGGGAGGAAAGACTACTTCTTGGATAGTGCTGTATTTTTCTATCAGGAGGCACATAATGCCTAACCAGGTGTTCTTTTTAGACATCTAACAGCCACTCAGCTGGGCCTTGATGCCTAGATCCATAACTTATCAGGGATTGCAAAATGGTAATATTTCAACATAAACATTCTTTCTTCACTCATTAGCTGGAAAATTACTCCAATATGAACAAACTTCTCATCTATTATTTGATTACCTAGTAACAGAGTTTATATAGAAAAGGCAGAATCAGTTGTTAAAATGAGTTGGCTTCCTAGACTCCTCCAGTAGTAACAAATTAGGTTCATTTGTAGTAGTAGTAGCAGTGGTCATCGTTGTCTTATAAATTCATGGATTTAGATATGATTGATACATATCAATCTACTGAAGTTACTCTTATTAATACTCAAGTTCCATATCTTAGCCAGCCAGTGGTGGCATCTTCAAGTTGGAACCTGAAACATGACCCAATCTTAATGGTTTCTGATTAGTAGTTTGCTATCAATTCCAAGCTTAGATTCAGGCCTAGAATCAGGCATTTCCACAAGGAACCAGTTCTTTTAAGTAGGTAGCTGTCATCTTTTTGTTTTTTTAGTTCTGGAACATTTACTGTCTAATTTAAAAAATATTATCAATCATTTTTCATTGGGTTCTCTCTCCTGAAATTCTTATTATTTGAATTTAGGCATGTTTCTCTCTTCTCTATATTATTTAACTTTAATATTTTCTACTTCTTAATTTCCTTCTTGTCTCCTTGGAAGTTTTAAAACCAGCTCTCATAATTAATTTGTAAATTCTTCTGCAGTTTGGTTTTAACAAATCTACTACTGTTCCATCTTATATGTTCTCCAGTATTGTGTTTGAAAGAGAGTTAATGGCCTGTGCTGGTTCTACATCCTGTCATCTTTATTATTTTTTTCAAAAACATATATTTAAGTGTGCTTCATGTTTAAAAATGTAAAAATCTAATCTTAGTTTAAAAAAACTTTAGCTTTCATTATAAAAAGTTAAAGATAAAATATATAAGAAATAAAAGCAATAACTATATCATCACATAGTAGAACATGTATTCTCTTCAAGATTTTATTTACATTTTAAAATCCTAGTTAGAAAAATAGATACTATATACAAAGTTTGATGTTGCACGTTTACTTAAATGTTTATCACAGGGGTCTTCATATATGGCTATTTTTCAAAATAAAATGCTCAAACTAATTTTAATGTGCTTAGTGCAGTGCCTGAAACACATAAGTTCGATATAATTGTTTATTATATCATAAATGGTTTATCTCATTACTAAGTCAAAATTAAAATGTACCATTTTCTTCCTGTAGCACATTGTAGTGGTTTCTAATTTCTGCAATTACAGTCAATGATGTATGTTCAGCACCTCTTATCCTAAACGTTCAAATTATTTCCTTAGGAAAAATTTCTAGAAATGAGATTCACAGGTTACAGGGTATAAATGCTTGCCTAATAATTTCCACTAATTCAGTAATTATAAAGTATCATTTGGATTAAAATGTGTATTCCTTTGAACATTAGCCAGATTACATACTTTCAAACATCTACTACTCAAATTTCCTTTTGTATAATAAAAGCATGACAGTTGAATGGGTAATTGCTATTAGTTCAGTGATGACATTTCATTTTTATCCTCATTATTAATTATTCTTTTATTATTATACAGGGACCATCTATACTTTTAAAATGTGTTTTCACTCACAGTAACTGGAAGTCTATAACATTTTAAGTTTGAATTAATAAATATTGCCAAATTATTTTAAATCATGATTCTAGCTATACTGATACAGTAATAATCTTTGACTTTCAGATGTACCTTTCCTTGCCTTGCCTAAATTTGCCCTTCTTTGTTAATATAAACTCAAGGGTCTTCACATTTTTTCCCTCCTTTTTGAACTTACTTTAAGTTTGTCATTAAAGAGAATCATTCTGGGTGTGATACTTCAATAGCAGGATTTCAGACTCCTGAAATGTCACAGACTAAAAAATGTTCCTTAGTTATATTTTTTAACTGCTGATATGTTAAGTATTCTCAAAATTTGATGCTTTTCAAATTCTATATTCTATAATTTTCAAACTCAGAACACAAATATTATATATGTGTGTGTGTGTATATATATATTCCTGTTACACACACACACACACACACACACACACACACACACACACCAGACCAATGTTGCAGAGGTATATGTCTCTAAATGGGGATGAGGGTGGAGAAAAGGAGATAAAGAGAAAGATAGAGACTGATTCACCTTGAATCTCATTGTAACTTCAGCCAGTAATATTGTTATATATAATGGTATATTACTTAGTACTTATAGAAGCAATTAGCTCTTAGTCCTGAGTCTATGGCTAAATAGTTAAGTAGTTGTTTTTTCTTTTATCGCACTCATTTTTATTTACTTTTTTTTCAGGTTACTGTTTTCTTAATATATAATGGTTTTAGATATTTTTGTGGTACATGCCACATTTTAATACCTGTATGCAATGTATAATGATCAAATCGGGCTAACTGGGATATAAGTGATTTCTGAAGAAGTCTTTTAACCTATTTCTCTACACATTACCATAGAAATCTGGAATTAGACTTAATCTCTATAATCCCCCAGCACTAAAATCCTAATGATTTGTTTGCAAATCTATATTCTAAGATGTTTTTAACTAAAAAAGATTCCTTAAATTTCTGAATCTCAAAAGAATACAGTGCTATGCAGAGAACAGATACTGTCAAATAACTATTGGCTGGTTGACTCTAAACAGATTGAACAAATAAAAACCTTTTTCTGCATAGTGTAGTAATAGAATTTAATTCCCGAGGAAACAGCATTTTAATGTCTCATCAAATCCAATAAATCAGAGTTCTACCTATGGCAAAACATAAATATATTTTAAAAATATACTTACCAATATATCCTGGCCAACATGCTGCTTTCCCTTTTCTTCTTGTGGTCCTAATATCAATTTCCCAGTAGAAAAATAAGGTGTATCCAATGTCTTATAAACCTTCAACTCACCATGCTTAACAAAAAATTGATATGTATCTCGTGGCTTTATAAGATCTAGGAGTAAAACAGTAATACAAATACAAAACAAAAGCAATATTATTGGTCAGTGATATAACATATACACATACATATAATAAAGTTATTTCTGGATATAAATTTGCCTTAGAGAGACAGAACTGATTCAGATCAATAATGGAGATAGAATGCCAGAGGTCAAATCGTGTCTGTCTTAAAAGCTGTATGACCTTAGTCAAGTTACTTAAGCTCTCTCTCGCTGTGCCTCAATTTCCTTTTCAGTAAAATGAAATTAATAATAGGTTCTTCTATTCGATGTTAATGAGCTGCTGTGAATATCAATGAGTTAATGTGTGTAAACTATTTAAAATATTGTCTGGCACAAAGTAAGCACTGTTAGTTCCAGCTGAATAAAAATAATGGCAGTATTATGGTAACTAAGAAAACAAAATTAGCTGAGATACAAAAAAGAATTTCCTATTTTTGAAGTTTAAAATAAACCACAAACGCATCATCACCATGCCAACAGATTTTTTTGTCCTGCTTGACTGATGCTAATTTTTATTAGGTAAAATTTGTGAGAAACCAGAGTTCTAATGGTTGTTCATAAATTACTATCTCACTTACAAAAATTTCCATTACTTAACAAACATTTCCAGATCTATAATTAATAAATTATTCTGTCATCAACCTCTGATTCTATTTCCCAGGATATTTGGGAATGTTAGTGATCCTATAGACTACATGATACAGAAACAAATATATAGTCGATTCAAGAAACAAATAAAAAAATGAACTCCTAACAATACTCACAATAACCTGGCAGAGTACAACAATGCTTTCAGTTAAGACACTAAACAAAACTCCATACTTCTTTGCTCTGTTGCCAAATAAATAATCTGAATATAAAGATAACTTTGCAAAGATGTTAAGATACGAAATCTATTTTCATAGTCCAAATTTTAATTAGGAGTACAATTACCACCTTTCTTTTTTTAAAAAAAAAAACTATTTATTATTACTTTTTTTGAGACAGAGTGTTGCTCTGCATGTCCAGGCTGGAGTGCAGTGGCGTGATCTCGGCTCATTGCAATCTCTGCCTCCCAGGTTGAAGCAACTCTCCTGTCTCAGTCTCCTGAGTAGCAGGGACTATAAGCACGCACCAACAGGCCTGGCTACCATTACCACCTTTCTGATTTGACCTTCTCCTCTGATTTAGAAAAAATAGCCCTTAGCACTCAATGGTGCAGTCGTAACAGTTATTGAAATATTTAAATATTTGTGTGTGTGTGTGTATATATATACATGTAATATATATATATATATGTATATATAAATATATATACACAGTGTATGTGTGTATATATATATATGTACACACACACACACACACATATATGTAGCCTGGTTGGTAAATAGCTGAGTAATCCATAAACTCCCACCTCACTATAGCCCAACCCTTGGAGATCTTCCATGACCTGCTAGACTAAAATATTTAATGTCTATCCAATACAGGAGGAGACTTCCAGGACTTTGCACCAGCTTTAAGCTTAAAGCTGGCATTTGCATTTGTACAACTGATTGATGCCTTTGCTAGTCAACCTCACAAAGGATTCATATCCCAGGTAACATTACTGCCATCTGTAGGCCCAAAAGTTTATCTGTGCCCTACCCACAATCCCTGCCTGGGCTCATGGTAAGAGGATCCTTGAGTCTGCCAACTATCTATAATTCCCTATAAACAGCCTCTGTCCCCATGTGTCCTCCTGGTCAAAGAAGGCCTAGAACCTGTTGGGGGAGACAACATTCCTGATTATAGCACTTGTGCCCTAGAGGACAAGTCCAAGGTGTTAAGTGTATCCTAGAGGCTGTCTGACATCAATATTCCCCCACAGTTGTCTTCATATAGCCTGCTTATTAGAATTAGATTCTCTTCTGGACTTTAGCACTGAAAGAACTGGGGAGAGAAAGGGAAAGTAGACAGGCCAATCATCAAGCAAGCAATGTTTTCTTACAAGTTGTTTAATTAAGTATTTTCAATAACAGCCCTGATCTTACCCATGAGAATAATCTCTCTTGTTTCTGGGTCCTTTACCCTCGTTGGCTGCAAAGGATCTCCAAGAGGAATATCTAGATTTACCTTTAAGCTAGTCTCTGCAAAAGAAATACCATTGAAATACAAACTACTTAAAATTATTCTCAATTATAAAAGATGTTCAGTACAAAATATAGGTATACAGAAGTTATAAAAGAAAACTGTCAAAAGCACAAGTCTCTTCCTATTTATAAGCACTCTGATATATAAAAATTCAAATTTAAAACCCATAATAATTTAACATAAAAGCAAACACCCTAAACTTTCTATTTTTTGTAAGCCTACAATGTGTAAACTCAAACTCCTGCATCATCAAGGAATTAATATTTTGCATAATCTTTAAGAGAAAGAGGTATATAATACACTTTAGAAATGTCTATTTTAACCATCATTTGGGCATAGGAAAGGTAGGTTTCATTTGACTAGGCAATTTAATCATGAAGAGATTTATACTTTTTTAAAAATAAAATTAGCTTACTTTCCATTTGGAAGAAAGTAGACATTAAAAAATCAATTTTACCTATAGTATTATTTCTGAAGTTTTTGGAAGTAAATTTCATATTTTGCAAAGAGCTTCTTCTCAAAGTACTCCTATTTAAATTAAAACCTAAAAGTTACTTTCATAAATAAGTTCATACTTCTTTCATTGTTATCAAGACAGATCCTTTTCTTATTAGCTCTTTTGTCGACTTTTCCAGTGTTTTCTTTTGCCTTCCTTTTAGATGGTACTGTGTCTGGAGAGAGTATTCCACTAACCACGAATCCTCCTGAAATTTAACAAAAAAAGGAAAATATACACAGGAAAGAGAAAAGCATGAAACAAAACTCCTTAAATTGAATATGGCACCTTTCCTTTCAAAGAATCAAAAGAATATATATGTCTGCAGCTAATCGTTGAAATAACACAAAACCAACCCATTTCATTATGTCTCTACCACCCTAAATCAGAAGCTGATAAAACAGGATTAGATGATGAAACATAATTAGATGGGCTCTGTTGCTCACCTGAAATCAATAGTCATCAGTGTAGGCTTTAAAAAAAAGGAGCGGGGAGGCTAGCAATGAACTATTTATAGAAATCCACATGCCTTTAGTCCTTTGACTTAGATATATCCATCAAAGAAAGAAATACAGCCAGGCACGGTGGCTGACATCTGTAATCTCAGCACTTTGAGAGGCCAAAGCAGGAAGACTGCTTGAGCTCATGAGATAGAGACCAGCCTAGACAAAATAGCTAGGCCTCAATCTCTACAAAAATAAGAAAATAACTCTAAGATTAAAATTATACTTTCCTGCCCACCCTACATTACTTTGTAGAAATCTATGAGAAAATGGAAAATGGTTAACAGGAATAATAATGGAAACTACTTTACCTTTACCAGTTATAATTTTCTCATGTTCTAATCTAATACTTTATATTATCCAATTAGAAATCTTGTCTGATAATACAGGAATAACAACACACAGCTACCAAAGAGAAAATACCAGCATCTCTACATTAATCAGACAAAAATGAATTGAAATCCTATTATCAAAATCTCGGGCGTGACGATTAAGTAAAGTAATGTATATAAACATGTAGTGCAATGTCTGGCACACAGTAAACAAATTTTTTACTGATAGACATTATAGCATAAACTAAGTTTTACCTGATGGCCTTCCTTGATAATCTATTCGCTCCCCTCGCCAGTACTCCAAAGGTTTCAAACGTATTCTCTTGGTCCTGCGAACATTTGGTGTGTTGGAGGGCAATACTATAAAAAGGGATTAGACAAAAGTGTATACATATGTTTTTTAGTTAATGGCACTTGGCAGTGGAAAGACTATCTTTTAGAAAACGAATGCTTTATTTTTTAGAACATAAATATTTTTCTAGACAAAAGACTAGAAAAACAAAACATATATTTATGCTAATAATTAAAGAAATGCCAATGGAAAAACAGGCTACCAAATCGGCAAATATTTAAAAATTTAATAATGCCCAGTGTTGACAATGTTAAATGTACACTCCTCTGAACAATGCAAAGTTCTGTATATTAAATTGAGTTTGTTGGATGTATCTTTAAATTCCCATGTTCTTACCTATTTTTTGTTTGCTAGAGCTATCCTGAAGCTAACAGGAAGTTGCCTACTGCTCTTAGGCATAATGCTTAATGTTCCTCTCTGTAAACACTGAAGCTCCTGATCAGGAACATTTTTATTTCCTTTTCCCTACTCCTGATTCATCATTTCACTCCAAGACAAGCATTAAGTATCAAGAGTCTCTCATCACACAGGCTCACAAAATACTGACATGATCTAAATTCTTGAGTGAGGCAATGAGAAAAAGCGTCACTCCTACTGGTAATCTCTAAGTATAAGTGCAAGAACACTCACAGCCTCAAATAAAGAGAGAAACCTTAAAAGCCACCCAACATTACAGAAAGGTGGGAACATGTATCTTGACTGGCAAATATCTCTTTGGGAACCATGGATTGTTAATCTTTACATGGGCCTCTCCACGAGTTCCCCAGTTCACAGCTTTGTCTACTTGCTACCCTAGCTACTGCTTTGTTTAGGAGTCAACTGGATTAAAGTGGAAGCAGCTGCTGTCAAGGAAGCCATCTACCAGGTAGTTACAGTTTCTTTGATAAAATCCTCCACACTAGCTTCATAGATAAGACAGGATCATGCCCCCTTACTACGGGAGAAAAAGTGAGAAGGCAACAGAATTCATAAATGGACAATAGACTAACTCAGTGGCTTGTGGTGACTTAATATGAAATTCATAAAAACTGAGTATGTAATTTTAAGCTATCTATCTACCAATTAATCCAAGTAATTGTATTTCTCCTCCTTAAGAAAAAATTAAGTGTTTTTAGAAGCAAACTTAATCAAAGTATTTTTCTCAATAAAAATATTAAAAGAGAAAATATTCTTACTTAATTTGTGATGGATTCTGTTCTTTGGTATCACTTTAGATTGTTTTACTCTTGAGTCATCTACAAAATGCAAAAGATAATATCATGAGCAATGACTCCTAATTCCAAGTTAAGTTAAAGTTTCCCGGTCAATTTCAGTATGAGTATTTTAAATAAAATTTGACCTGATAATATATTTTATTACTCCTTTTGCTTTTCACTGCTCAGTTATAAAAATTAAGGAAAAGAAGTATTTCTGTAGACTTTGCTACAATGAACACATTGCAAGCTTGTCCAATTCACCTAATTTTGCTATATTGTTTTGTTTTGTTTCAGGCCTTTAGCAACCAGAAGCTATGGTTTTTAGTTTGTATATCTAGTGACAAGTGGAAAAGAGGGATGAAGAAAGGGTTTTACTGACCCAACCAGAAACAGAAACTAAGAACCCATGACCGTATTCTCTCCCTTGGACACCCTGGTTTGTATTCTAAAGAGTGTAACTGTTAAAAAACAAACAAACAACAACAAAGAGATTTTCTACTGCTCATGGAAAGATTAAATAAAACACTGGTGGATAAAAATGTAGGGACTGATAATGGATAAGTAATATGTTATTAATGAACTATCTGTAACTTTCTCATAAAGTTCTGAAATAGTTTAAGTGTACTGAATTTAGCAGTGTGCCAATGAGCTTAGGGGTTCTCAACTTTGGTAAAGAGCACTAAAGATGACTGTCTTCACTTCTTTCCCTTTCTATGCACAAATGTTCTATATCGAGAAGCAAAATCTCATTCCCTTCTCCTTCAATCTCTGCTCGAGTTATTGACTTGCTTAACTAATAGAATACAACAGAAGTGATGTGTGGGACTTAGAAGGCTAAGTCCTAAAGCAATCCACAGGTTCCATCTAGAAGTCTTGGGATCTCACTCTGAGGGAAGACAGCAGCAATATGAAGATTAACACAAAACTGCCATGCTGTGAAACCCAATGTGGTCACATAGAAAAGCCACATGGAGGAAAAGAGTTGCTTGGGCAACCCTCAGTGTCCCAGCTCTCCTAGCTGGGTCCAAATATATAAGTGAGGAAGTTACCTTGAATGTCCAACCCAGTTGAACTTTCAGATGACTCCAGCACCAGCAACTTGTACTTTTAAATTCATGAGCGTACTCAAGTGACAACTACCCAACTAAGCCAAGTCAATTCACAGAATCATAAAAGATAAATCAATCATTGTATTAAGCCTCTAAGTTTTAGAGTGGTTAGTTATGCAGCAATATACAACTGGACAGAATGTCCATGAAACACCTAAAGTTGTAAATACAATTTTGCATTTTTCCCCTAAAAAGTAGGTCTGAGCTTTTATCATATTCTCAAATAAATCCATGAAAAAAAAAAACAACAAAAAATTATTAAGAATGATTGAATTAGATCTTTTATAAAATTACTGGTTTGTAAGAAACTCCAGGGATCATAACATCTAATTTCCCTGTGAGAAACAGACAAATCTGTAGACATCAAAAGTAGATTAGGAGTTGCACAGGCCCAGGAAAAGGAAATGGAAGGTGGCTACTAAAGGGTAAAGGGGTTTCTTTTTGGGCATGATGAAAAGTTCTAACATCCACTACGGCAATTACTACATAACACTGATTTGCATACTGTAAGTGGACTAATTATATGGTATATGAAGTCTAATTCAATAAATCTAGTGTACCCCCTACTCCACCCCAAGCCCCACTGCCAAAAATCCCATTTCCCATGCAATCTCCACTACAAGAAGTAGAGGTCTCACCTCTGTTGGAGATTCTCCTGTGACACTGGGTCTTGGAGGGAGCGCCAGAGTCATATAAAGAACCACAGAAACAAGCAAATATACTGAGAATAATGGGAGTCAGGTTTCTCACTGAGAAGAGGTTTATAAAAATGGAAAAGGAGAAGTCTATGTTGAAATGGAAGTAGGGGTAGTAATGTGAACTTATAATAAATAAAGGCATATCCCAGAGACACTGCCAGTTCAGTTCCAGACTACTATAATAACACAGATATTGAATAAAGCAAGTCACACAGTTTTTTGGGGTTCTTTTGTTGTTTTGTTTTGGTTTTTTGAGACAAAGTCTCACTCTGTCACCCAGCCTGCATTGCAGTGGTGTGATCATGATTCATTGCAGCCTCCACTCCTGGGAGCAAATGATCCTTCTGCTTTACCCCAAGTAACCGGGACCACAGATGCACACCACCATGCCCAGCTAATTTTTTTATTTTTAGTAGAAACAGGTTTTCGGCATGTTGGCCAGGCTGGTCTCAAACTCCTGGACTCAAGTGATCTGCCTGCCTGACCTCCCAAAGTGTTGGGATTACAGTGTGAGCCACCATGCCAGGCCAAAAGTTATGTCTTTACTACATTATAGTATATTAAGTGTATAAGCGCATTAGGTCCAAAAACTCAGTGTACTATACCTTAATTTAAAAATATTTTATTATTAAAAATGCTAAAGATCAGCCAGGCATAGTAGCTCACTCCTGTAATCCCAGGACTTTGGAAGGCCCAAAAGGGCAGATCACTTGAGGCCAGAAGTTCAAGACCAGACTGGCCAACATGGCAAAACCCTGTCTCTACTAAAAATAAAAAAATTAACTGGGTGTGGTGACACACACCTTGTGATCCCAGCTACTCTTGGTGGCTGAGGCATGAGAATCACTTGAATCCAGGAGGCAAGAGGTTTCAGTGAGCTAAGATTGAAGCACTGCACTCCAGCCTGGGTAATAGAGTAAGCTTATGTCTCAAAAAATAGAAATAATAAAAAATAAAAATATCATCTGAGCTTTCAGTGAGTTTTAATCTTCTTGCTGGTAGGCTATTTTGCCTCATTGTTGATGACTGCTGACTGATGAGGCTGGTGTGTCTGTAGTAGTTTCTTAAAGCAAATCAACAATGAAGTTTCTCTGGAGCATATAAAATGCTGTTTTATAGCATTTTACCCACAGTAGAACTTCTTTCAAAACCACAGTCAAAGCTCTCTAGCCTGCCACTGTTTTTATCAACTAAGTTCACAGAATATCCTAAATCCTTTTTGGTCATTTCAAGGGTTCACAGTATATTCACCAGGAGTAGATCCCACCCACCTCAATAAATCAGTTTCTTTGTTCATTCATAAGAAGCAACTCCTCATCTGTTCAAACTTTTTCATGAAATTGCAGCAATTCAGTCTCATCTCCAGACTCCACTTCGAATTCTAGTTCCTTTGCTATTTCCACCACATCTAGTTATTTCCTTCATTGAAGTCTTGAAGCCCTCAAAATCACCCAGAAGGGTTGGAATCAACTTCTTCCAAACTTCTGGTAATAATGATATTTTGACCTCCTCCCATAAAACACAAATATTTTTAATGGCATCTAGAATAGGGAATCCTTTCCAGAGATTTTTTATTTACTTTTTCCAGACCCATCAGAGGAATCACCACTCATGGCAGCTACTGCCTTACAAAATGTACTTCTTAAATAAGACTTGAAAGTCCAAATTATTCCCTGATCCATGCATGAGCTGCAGAATGGATGCTGCGTTAGTAGGCATGACAACAACATTAATCTCCTTGTCCTTGTCCATTAGAGCTGCTGGGTGGCCTGGTGCATTGTCATGATTGTGCTGTCACCCAGGCTTTGTTGTTCTACTAATAGAGCAAAGTAGATTTAGCATAATTCTTAAGAGATCTAGGATTTCTGGAATGGTAAATAAGCACTAGCTTCAACTTAACGTCACCAGCTGTATTAGCCCTTAATAAGAGAGTCAGTTTGTCCTTGGAAGCTTTGAAGTCAAGCATTGACTTCTCCACTTGAGCTATGAAGGTCCTAGATGACACCTTTTTTCAATAAAAGGCTGTTTGATTACAGTGAACATCTGTTGTTTAGTGAAGCCACCTTCAATTATCTTAGCTGGATTTTTTGGATAACTTGCTGCAACTTCTACATCAGACCTTGCTGCTCCACCTTGCACTTTTATGTTATGAAAACAGCTTCTTTCCTTAAACCTCATGAACCAGACTCTGCTAGTTTCAAACTTTTCTTCTGCTGCTTCCCCACGTCTCTCAGCCTCTACTGAATTAAAGAAAGTTAGGGCCTTGCTCTGGATTAGACTTTGGCTTTAAAGGAATGCTGTGGCTTGTATAATCTTCAGTTCAGACCACTGAAACTTTCTCTATATCAGCAGTAAGGCAGTTTCCCTTTCTTATCATTCATGTGTTCACTGGAGTAGCACTTTTATTTTCCCTCAAGAACTTTTCCCTTGCACTCATAAATTGGCTGTTTGGTGCTAGAGGCCAAGCTTATGGACTATCTCAGTTTCTGACATGCCTTCCTCACTAAGCTTAATCATTTCTAGCTTCTGATTTAAAGTAAAAAATATGTGATTCTTTCTTTTACTTGAACACTTAGAAGCCATTGTAGGATAGGATTACTGTTGGCCTCTCAAGGAATAGGGAAGCCTGAGGAGAAGGAGAAAGATGGGGAACTGGCCAGTTGGCAGAGCAGTTAGAATACATTTATTAAGTTAACTTTCTTATGTGGGTGTGGTTTATGATGCCCCAAAACAATTGCAATAGTAACGTCAAACATCACTGATCACCATAAAAGACATAGTAATGAAAAAGTCTGAAACACTGTGAAAATTATCAAAATGTGACAGAGACACAAGGTGAGCACATGCTACTGAAAAATATGATGCCAATAAGGCTTACTCAACACAGGGTTGCCACAAACCTTCAATTTGTGAAACATGTATCTGCAAAGTACAATGACACAAAGCACACTTAAAATAAGGCATGCCTGTATAAATATAAATATACATAGAAGCTTGTATTATATATGGTGTGTACATATGTGTATGTGTATATGTGTATGTATCTATATACTATCTCTGTCCACTGAGAAAGCCTAGAAGCAATGGCATCCCAAACAAGGATCACACCAAGTGCCCAAATCTGGGTTTCTAAATGCCATCTTCCACTGAAAATAACCAGGTTTCCTGGAGCAGTACTTCATCCCAGAGCTGGAGCAGGGAAAAAAACTGGAACATCTTATGCCAAAAAACAAAGACAGTATTCATAGAATTATAACAAAAGCACACAGAGACCAGCTGAAAGAAAATCAAATGACCAAATATATCACAATGAGAGTATCACAATAAATGATCAAGATTACAGCCACATGACATAAAATATAAACCTAGTAGTCCATATTGATATAAATAAAATGAATAATGAATAAAATAACTGGCATGGCAGAGAAAAACTGGCACCAAATTAATGGGGAAGGAATAAAAGAATAGAAAATAGAAAATAATGTGGTATCATTATTAGTAGCTGATAATTCAACTGGGAGTCTTCAATGTACATTAAAGTTGGTGGATGGAGGTTTGACAAGAAACAGGTTATTAAAATAGTATCAGAATATCACTCTACAATATTTATCAATTATAAGAGAAAGGGAGTGTCTTTACAATAGAGAAACCTGGCAGACAATAATGTGAACAGGATTAACATCATGTCGACCAGGCTTGGTGGCTCACACCTGTAATCCCAGCACTTTGGGAGGTTAAGGTGGGGAGATCACTTAAGGTCAGGAGTTTGAGACCAGTCTGGCCAACAAGGTGAAAGCCTTTCTCTACTAACAACACAAAACTCAGCCGGATGTGTTGGCGCATGCCTGTAATCCCAGCTACTCAGGAGGCTAAGGCACAAGAATTGCTTGAACCCAGGAGGCAGAGGTTACAGTGAGCTGAGATCACACCACTGCACTCCAGCCTATGAGACAGAGCAAGACTCTGTCTCAAACAAACAAACAAAAAAACATCATGTAGAAGGTCAACACTGTATGCCTCCCGTGTGATGCACAAATTACAACCCCTAACTCCTAACGCTATAGTATCATTTCTGTAGTAGTACCGTCAATATGAATAGCACATATTGATCATGAGGAAACAGAAAGACCTAGGATGAAGGTCATTCTAAAGATAAGAAGGCTGTATTTTTTTTTGAGACAGTCTCACTCTATTGCCCAGGCTGGAGTGCAGTGACGCAACCTCCACTCACTGCAACCTCTGCCTCCCGGGTTCAAGCAATTCTCTGCCTCAGCCTCCTGAGTAGCTGGGATTATTGGTGTCTATCACTATGCCCAGCTAATTTTTGTATTTTTAGTATAGACAGGATTTCACCATCTTGGCCAGACTAGTCTCAAACTCCTGACCTTGTGATCTATCCGCCTTGACCTCCCAAAGTGCTGGAATTACAAGCGTGAGCCACTGTGACTGGCCTAGAAGGCTGTATTCTTTAAAAATGTTGGTGTCAGGAAAGTTAAGGGAAAAAAAAAAAACCTAAGGAACTGTTCCATGTTGAAGGAAACTAAGGGACATGACAGCTAAATGCAGTTGCTGATGACCGGATCTTGAACCAGGAGGAAAAAGCAGCACTGAGATCCAGGATTGGATCCTGAGCTAGAAGACAAAAGGAACTGCTGGTGAAATCTGAATGAAATCTGTGAATGAACCTGTGTTGTATTAATGCTAATTTCCTTATCTGGGTAGTTAGAGGGTATTTATATTCTTGTCTCACTGAAATGCATTATGGGGTATTTAAGAGAAATAATATGTTATGTCTATAATTCCCTCTGAAATAGTTTAGAAAAAGATGAGTGATAATAAACGTGTATAAATATTTATTAGAGGAGGCAGGGAGGAAGATGGAAAAATGTTGAAAAATGTGGACAATTGTGAAATCTTAATGAAGGGGATATGGGATCTCTGGACTCAAATTAGTTCAAAATAAATTATTTTTTAAGTGACTAACACAAGGGACATCTCCTAAATTTCAAAGATTAAAGGATCCTAGTAAGCCTGGAGATGGAAGAAATCTGGTTATCTACATAGGAAACAAGAAATAAGGCTGCCTTCAAATTTCTATTCATAAGCATTAACTCTCATGAAGCAAAATAGCAACAGGTAGATAGTTTAAAGAAAAAAAGATCATGACTCAAGATTATGTCGTCTATTTAGCTGGTGGTTCACTGTGTTTAAAAAAGAAAAATCCTGAGTCCTTGCTGGAATATGTGAGAATGTCTACCACCTTAACTAAGAAGTAACAAATATATCTGTTGACAATAAGTGTAAATATATTAAACATTTTATTAAAGGAAAAAATATTGACACGGCAAGTCAAAAACAATTCAATTGTATGCTGTTTCTGAGCCACTTTTAATTTTCTAATAAAAGTTAAATAAAAGAATAAGAAACAACACCCAACCAAAAGAAAGTGGAGGTCACAATATTAATATTAGACAAAACAAACTACAAAGTAAAAAGCATTTAACACAATGAAGGAGATTTGATCAAAACAGGTATATTCCATATGAAGGCTTATGTGATTAGTAATAATACTAAAATGTACATAACAAAGACTACAGGAAATACAAGGAGAAAGACAGTTGGAGTGGCAACACTTCAACTCTAGTAGTTGTTAACAGATCACAAATCAAAAATAAGAATACAAAGGTTCAGAATACTATCAAGCTTATTATGTCCAAATCTAACATTCTGTTCTCTTCCCCAAAATTTGCTTATTCCCCAATAGTCCCCAGATCAGAAAACAATATTGCTATTCTTCCAGGTACTCAGGCCAAAAATCTTCAAGTTATCTCTAATACTCTTTCTCTTACATATCACATCTCCTCCATGAGAAAATCCTGTTGTCTTTACCCTCAAAAACACTGAAAAAATCCTCCTACTGTTCTCCACCTTCTACTACTACCACACTAGTCTAAGCCAACACCTCTCATTAGGATTATTTCAACGTCTCTCCAGCCAGTCTCCTAGCTTCCAATCTTCCTCTGTCCCCTCAACCCCATCGGTCAAGTCCTAAAACAGCAGCTGCAGTGATTCTGTTAATACAGGTCTTCTGCTCAAAACCCTCTAATGGCTTCCCATCTCTCTTAATAAAAGCCTTTAACATCCTATGTGATCTTTCATTTGGCTGCCTCTGTGACATCATTTTTCCTACTACTAGCTCTCTCTTCCTCTGCTCTAACCCCCTGGCATTCTTGGTGTTCCTCAATCAATACGGACTCTACCACACCAGAACCTTTGCTCTTCATCTTCCCTCTACCTGGGACACTATTTACCCAGACAGCTAAACGGTTTACTGTCTCATCTCTTCACAACTTTGCTCAAATGATCACTTCCTTAGTGAGGACTTCTCTGCCCACCTACCTAAAAGTTTAAACTTCATTTGCCACCCTAAAACCCCTACTTTATGTTTCTACTCTCAACACCCAACAAATCATAAATTTTGTTATCCTTTTAAATTGTCTGCCATCCTGGCCCTTCCAGAAATTACACTCCAGGAGGAGTGTAATTTTTGTCAGTTTTGTTCACCGACACATACCTAAGCCCTAGAATATACAGTAAATATGCCACAATTTTTCATATTTAAGAATTCCATTAAGTATTCAAAATATATTCACTTATGTTATCAACAAAATAACTGGATATATATCTTTAAGCCCCCATCTGTATATAAATTATTCTCTTTTTCAAGTACTGATAGAAAAATTATAAAAACTAAGCATAAACTAGATACTAGAACACAAAGAAAACCTTAATGAATTCAAACAATAAATAATATAGGACAAGTTTTCCAGAACAAAACAAAATCAGAAAATAATAAAAGAACAAAAACCAACTTCTTAAATAACAGCCAAAATTGGGTATTTTATACACACCAGATATTAAACTAAGCAAAGAACATGTATTCATCTTTATATCAACTTATGGGATTACAGCTGATATCATTTTACAGATAAGGAAACCGAAGTTTAAGAACACTAACATTTCTTAGTCAAGATAGCATAGTGATGCTTTCTGATCAGTGGTGAATGGGGGAAAAAAAGATAACATAGCCAGTAAGTAGTAGAGCTAGAACAAATGACTCCAGGTCCATGACTCTGGAGAACAAGCTCTTGACTACGTACTCTAAAACTACTGAGTCAAAGAAAAATCACTATAATTCAGAGTATACTACAATAACACTACATAGCAAAGCCTATAATATTAAGCCAAAACTATAATGAGGGAAATTCAATGCTGCTTCTTTACCAAAGAAAAAGTAGAAAAACACAGAAAGCATTCAAGTTAAAAAAGAAAAATAACACAATAAATCTAATGATGAGGGAAAAATAAAAAGTTAAACAAATAGTGATTATTAAGGAAAAAAACTACTATAACAAATTACAATCAAACATGCATTTTTAGGAGCATAAAAAAATTATAAAATTCTCTATTAAGAAGCATTTTTAAACTTCAATATGAAAATTTTCAAGTATTGAAGGCCAGGCATAGTGGCTCAAGCCTGTAGTCCCAGCACTTTGGGAGGCCAAAAAGGGTGGATCACAAGGTCAGGAGTACAAGACCAGCCACATGGTGAAACCCCTCTCTATGAAAAATACAAAAAATTAGCCACGTGTGGTGGCGGGCGCCTCAAATCCCAGCTACTCAGGAAACTGAGTCAGAGACCTGCTTGAACCCAGGAGGCGGGGTTTGCAATCAGGCCAAGATCACACCACTGCACTCCAGCCTAGGCAACAGAGTGAGACTCCATCTCAAGAAAAAAAAATTCAAGTTTGAAAAAAGAGAAAACAGTACAACGGACCCAACACACCCAACACCCAGCTTCAGTAATCATCAACAGATGACTAATCTTGCTTCATGTATACTCTTAACAGCTTAACAATTTAAATACTGGAGCAGACACCTTAAAGGCCAGTATTTCATTATGTTCTACTTAAAAAACTGTCACTCATTTTTTTCTCTCTCATTTAGGCATAGGGTCTTACTAATTTCTAACTAAGAGTCTTAAGAGGTAGGTATTCAATACACATTTGCCATCAGTGATAATATAAGTAAAACATAGCACTCCTTACTCCATATTCACAATGCCACAAAAATCAAGACAAAAAGAAACAATCGTTTACCTAAACTTCCATGAACTTTCTCATCATCTACATCATTATTCTTCTTTCCAGACATTAAGTAATTCTTGAGTGTGGAAGGTCCACTTTAAAAAAAAAAGTAAACCACAAAATTAATGCTTTTATAATGCATATATCTAATGTATTTGCCTTAATGATCATTTTTCTCCTAAAATTGCCATAAGTCTTTCTTTTTTTTTTGAGACAGAGTTTCGCTCTTGTTACCCAGGCTGGAGTGCAATGGTGCGATCTCGGCTCACCATAACCTCTGCCTCCTGGGTTCAGGCAATTCTCCTGCCTCAGCCTTCTGAATAGCTGGGATTACAAGCATGCGCCATCGTGCCCAGCTAATTTTTTGTATTTTTAGTAGAGATGGGGTTTCACCATGTTGACCATGATGGTCTCGATCTCTTAATCTCATGATCCACCCGCCTTGGCCTCCCAAAGTGCTGGGATTACAGGCTTGAGCCACCGCGCCTGGCCAAGTCTTTCTTATAAAATCAATAATAATGTTACAAGTCATCAAGAATATATAGTCATCCCTCAGTATTTGTGGGGGATTGGTTCCAGGATCCACTGTGGATACCAAAATCCACGGATGCTCAAGTCCCTTATATACCATGGTGCAGTATTTGCATGACTTTCATACATCCTCCTATATAATTTAAATCATCTCTAAGTTACTTATAATATCTAATACAATGTAAATGTATGTAAATAGTTGTTATACTGTATTTTTATTTGTATTATTTTTAATGTTATATTGTTATTTTACTATTTTATATTTTCTGAATATTTTCACTCAATGAGTGTTCAATCAGTGGATGCAGAACCCATAGATATGGAGGGCTAATTGTACTTGCCGCATTAACAAACGCTACAATTTCAACCCATAACTGATGGCAAGCATCGTTAAGAACTGAATTTATAACTTATAGATCAGAGTTATGATCTTAGTTAATTCAAATGATAACACCTTGTCGTAGAAATTATATATATTTAAAAAAAAAGAAATCATCATATCTTAATTAAAAAAAAAATTACAGCCAAAATCCAATGGAATTTAAATTGTGGCCCAGAAATTGTCAGAGATGATTCAGGTTCTCCCAGTCCTCCATCTCTTTTTACCTATTATGAACCCAGGATAAGCCTAGTCATAACCTCACAAATAGTAAAGAAATCTCAGCCATCCCTTAAAAGTCTGAGACTTTGCGATAATTTACCTTTTGTTCATTTTTTAAAAGGTTGGTTATATGACCTCAGATATAATTAAGAGTAGGTTAATTCAATTTGCTCACTAAAGGTGGTCATTTTAACATTGTATGTCTAAATTCTTTAATATACCACCTTTTAAGAGGTGGAGCCTAATTCCACCTCTCCCTGAATGTAGTGTGGACTTAATAAGTTGTTTCTAATGAACAGAATAAAGTAGAAGTGACAGTGTACAATGTCAAAGACTAAGTCATTAAAGGACACTATGATATTCATCACAGTCACACCTTCTCTTGTAGCATTTGCTTTGTGGGAAGTCAGTTACCAGATTCAGCAGCTAAGAGGGCCAGATGGCAAGAAACTAAGGTCTACTAGAAACAGCCAGCAAGGAATTGGGACATCCAGTCAAAAGCCATGTGAGTAAGGCATTTTACAGGTGGATCCTCCAATTCCAGACAAGACTTTAAAAAACTAAAACCAGAAAGACATCTTGACTGCTACCTCCTGAGATTATCTGAGCCACAACTAGCTAGCTAAGTCTTTCAGATTGCTGACCCATAGAAACTATGAAACAGTAAGTGTTTTTAAGCCTACAACAAAATTAAAGTTCTTGGGTAATCTGTTATACAGCAATGAATAACTAATATAGTCAGGAAATACTATTATCCTTACAATATATGCATACCTTTCCTCTAAAATTGAAGTCTTATGCTCTCCAGAATCCAAGTTTGACTCTGTTGGTGTCTTACATGTATATCCATATGTCTGAGGCATTAGAGGAACATTCTGTGTAGTCATAATATCATCTTGATTCTTTGAGCTTCCTGTAGATCTATAAAAATGAAAAATGTATGACTGTTTATACCTCTTCAAAAGAAAATTTTCTTCCAGAAACAATACATAGGTGGGTACATAGACAATATAATATTGGCTATAACGAGTATCAGATCACCCTGTTCAGGTTCTGAGATTTGCAACTAGCTAAGGAAGAAAATTGGTTTCTAGGACCTACCAACAATCCTAATTTGAAAACTTCTGATGAGAGAAATGGAGAAGACACCTGGCCATGAAGGTAGTGACAAGGACATAAGGAGACATTATCGATTAATGGCTTATGATGTATATTACAGTTAATCTATCATAGTTTACTGGAGAATCCATAAACAACTAAAATTTTTTCTGGGGGGAGGACTCAAGATGGCGCTGTGAGAACAACCCAGGATTGGAGCTCGCGTTGAATCCGCAAACGGTGAGTCAGAGCTTCATTTACAGACTGATTTTTGTTGCCCACAGAATGGGGAAACTCCCAAGTATAAAAAGACACGGGACGCCAGGCAGTAGGTCTGCCTGGCGAAGCCGGCAGCTGGGGCGGCAGTGGCCGGCCCTACCCAGCAATCCCCACAGGGCGCACTTGTCCGGGTGCCCTGTTGAACCGCCAACCTGAGACTTGAGAGGGCTGGACTTGAACGAGACTTGGACAGTAGCCCAGCCCAGGGGATTGCAGGGACAAATCGTTTGGGATACCCAGTGGGACGAACAAAACCGCGATTTCAAACTATCCCGAGCAGACGGTCCGAGACGCTCTGTGGGGGAGGGGCGTCCACCACTACCGAGGCAACCCGCCCCAACAGAGATACACGCCCACTGCTGACGCAGTCAGCCATTGCCGAGGCAACCAGCCCCAACTGAGATACACGCCCACTGCTGACGCAGCCAGCCGTTGCCGAGGCAACCCGTCCCTACTGAGATACACGCCCACTGCTGACACAGCCTGCCGTTGCTGAGGCAACACGCTACAACGAAGAGACTCCGCCGCAGGGCGTGGCGGAGACCACAGCAGAGCCTGCAGGAACAGGGCGAATCACACAACAGCAGGGCGGAGCCTCGGCAACCAAACAGTGGCTAGTCTGCCTTCTACCTGGGCAGGACACCTCATCGAACATCCAAAAATAAAGCCCAAACCCCTTAACACAGAGCATTTGAGAGAAAAAAAAAAAAAAAAAAAAGGGTTTTTTAATGAGCTCTGTTGCAGCAGAATCAAACATAGCAGCCTAACAGCCCTGAATGAACAACAGAGCGCACAGCTCAGCAATTAAGCCCCTATAAAGTACAAACTGTCTCCTCAAGCAGCGCCCTGACCCCTCTATATCCAAAAGACTGACATTAGGCAGGCATCATCCTGGGACAAAGATAGCAGAAAAAAAAACTGGTAGCATCCCTCGCTGTGCCACAGCTGCTAGAGGTGCACCCCAGACGAGCAGGGTCTGGAGCGGACATCAGCAGTCGTACAGCAAAGAGGCTAGACTGGTAGAAGGAAAACCAAGCAACAGAAATACTTCATCATCAACATTCCGGGTGTCCACTCAGAGACCCAATCGAAAAGTCAGCAACTACGCAAACGACCAGCGGACAAATCCACAAAGATGGGAAGAAACCAGCGCAAAAAGGAGGAAAACACCCGAAACCAGAACACCTCACCTCCTAGAAAGGACCAAAACTCCTCACCAGCAAGGGAACAAAGCTGGACGGAGAATGACTGTGACGAAATGACGGAATTAGACTTCAGAAGATGGATAATGAGAAACTTTTGGTGAGCTAAAAGATCATGTATTAAATCAATGCAAAGAAACTAAGAACCTTGAAAAAAGATTTGAAAAAAGATTCGAGGAAATGATAACAAGAATGGATAACTTAGAGAGGAATATGAATGAATTAAAGGAGCTGAAAAACACACTACGAGAACTTCGCGAAGCAAACACAAGTTTCAATAGCCGAATTGACCAAGCAGAAAAAAGAATATCTGAAGTCGAAGACCAACTCAATGAAATAAAACGAGAAACCAAGATCAGAGAAAAAAGCGCAAAAAGGAATGAACAAAGTCTCCAAGAAATGTGGGACTATGTGAAAAGACCTACCTACGTTTGATAGGTGTACCAGAAGGGGACGAAGAGAATGAATCCAAGCTGGAAAATACTCTTCAGGACATCATCCAGGAAAATTTCCCCCACCTAGCAAGACAGGCCAACACTCAATTGCAGGAAATACAGAGAACACCACAAAGATATTCCGCAAGAAGAGCAACCCCAAGGCACATAATCTTCAGATTCAACAGGGTTGAAATAAAGGAGAGAATACTAAGGGCAGCCAGAGAGAAAGGTCGGGTCACCCACAAAGGGAAGCCCATCAGACTCACAGCAGATCTCTCGGCAGAAACACTACAAGCCAGAAGAGAGTGGGGGCCAATATTCAACATTCTTAAAGAAAAGAACTTTCAACCCAGAATTTCATATCCAGCCAAACTGAGCTTCAGAAGTGAAGGAAAAATAAAATCCTTTGCAAACAAGCAAGTACTCAGAGATTTTGTCACCACCAGGCCTGCTTTACAAGAGCTCCTAAAAGAGGCACTACACATAGAAAGGATCAACCAGTACCAGCCATTCCAAAATCACACTGAATGATAAAGAGCTTCAACATAATGAAGAATCTACAACAACTAACAGGCAAAACAGCCACTTAGCATCAAAATGGCAGTATCAAATTCACACATAACAATATTAACCCTAAATGTAAATGGACTAAATGCACCAATCAAAAGACACAGACTGGCAAATTGGATAAAAAGCCAAAACCCATCAGTGTGCTGTATCCAGGAAACCCATCTCACATGCAAGGATACACAAAGGCTCAAAATAAAGGGATGGAGGAAGATTTACCAAGCTAATGGAAAGCAAAAAAAAGCAGGAGTTGCAATTCTCATCTCTGATAAAATAGACTTTAAAGCAACAAAGATCAAAAGAGACAAAGAAGGCCATTACATAATGGTAAAAGGATCGATACAACAAGAAGAGCTAACGATCCTAAACATATATGGACCCAATGCAGGAGCACCCAGATACATAAGGCAAGTTCTTAATGACTTACAAAAGGATTTAGACTCCCACACAATAATAGTGGGAGACTTTAACACTCCACTGTCAATACTAGACAGATCAACCAGACAGAAAATCAACAAGGATATCCAGGGCTTGAACTCAGACCTGGAGCAAGCAAACCTGATAGACATTTACAGAACTCTCCACCCCAAATCCACAGAATACACATTCTTCTCAGCACCACATCACACCTACTCTAAAATTGACCACATAATTGGAAGTAAAGCACTGCTCAACAAATGCAAAACAACTCAAATCATAACAAACAGCCTCTCAGACCATAGTGCAATCAAGTTAGAACTCAGAATTCAGAAACCGACCCAGAACCGCACAGCTTCATGGAAACTGAACAACTGGCTCTTGAATGTTGACTGGGTAAACAATGAAATGAAGGCAGAAATAAAGAAGTTCTTCGAAACCAATGAGAACGAAGACACAACGTGCCAGAACCTCTGGGACACATTTAAAGCAGTCTCTAGAGGAAAGTACATAGCAATAAGTGCTTATATGAGGAGAATGGAGAGATCCAAAATTGACACCCTATCATCAAAATTGAAAGAGCTAGAGGAGCAAGATCAAAAAAACTCAAAACCCAGCAGAAGACAAGAAATAACTAAGATCAGAGCTGAGCTGAAGGAGATTGAGACACGAAAAACCCTTCAAAATATCAATAAATCCAAGAGCTGGTTTTTTGAAAAGATCAACAAAATAGACAGACCACTAGCCAGATTGATTAAAAAGAAAAGAGAGAACAACCAAATAGATGCAATAAAAAATGATAAAGGGGAAATCACCACAGATTCCACAGAAATTCAAACCATCATCAGAGAATATTACAAACAACTCTATGCACATAAACTAGTAAACCTGGAAGAAATGGATAAATTCCTGAACTCCTGTGTCCTCCCAAGCCTAAACCAGGAGGAAGCTGAAACTATGAATAGACCAAGAACAAGGTCTGAAGTTGAGGCAGCAATTAAGAGCCTACCACACAAAAAAAGCCCAGGTCCAGACGGGTTCACAGCCGAATTCTACCAGACACACAAGGAGGAGCTGGTACCATTCCTTCTAAAACTATTTCAAACAATCCAAAAAGAGGGAATCCTTCCCAAATCATTTTATGAGACCAACATCATCCTGATACCAAAACCCGGCAGAGACCCAACGAGAAAAGAAAACTTCAGGCCAATATCCATGATAAACATAGATGAAAAAATCTTCAATAAAATATTGGCAAGCCGATTGCAACAGCAAATCAAAAAACTTATTCATCATGATCAAGTAGGATTCATCCCAGGGATGCAAGGCTGGTTCAACTTACACAAGTCTATCAACGTAATTCACCACATAAACAGAACCAAAAACAAAAACCACATGATTATCTCAATTGACGCAGAGAAGGCATTTGACAAAATTCAACAGCCCTTTATGCTAAAAACCCTCAATAAACTCGGTATCGATGGAACGTATCTCAAAGTAATAAAAGCTATTTACGACAAACCAACAGCCAATATCATACTGAATGGGCAAAAACTGGAAGCATTCCCTTTAAAATCTGGCACTAGACAAGGATGCCCTCTCTCACCACTCCTATTCAATATAGTACTGGAAGTTCTAGCCAGAGCAATCAGGCAAGAAAAAGAAATAAAGGGTATTCAAATAGGAAAGGTGGAAGCCAAATTGTCTCTATTTGCAGATGACATGATAGTATACCTAGAAGACCCCATTGCCTCAGCCCAAAAACTCCTGAAACTGATAAGCAACTTCAGCAAAGTCTCAGGATATAAAATCAATCTGCAAAAATCACAAGCATTCGTCTACACCAATAACAGACTTAAAGAAAGCCAAATCAAGAGCGAACTGCCATTCGCAATTGCTACAAAAAGAATAAAATATCTTGGGATACAACTCACAAGGAACGTAAGGGACCTCTTCAAGGAGAACTACAAACCACTGCTCAACGAAATCAGAGAGGACACAAACAGATGGAGAAACATTCCATGTTCATGGTTAGGAAGAATTAATATCGTGAAAATGGCTACACTGCCCAAAGTAATTTACAGAATCAACGCTATCCCCATCAAGCTACCATTGACTTTCTTCACAGAACTGGAAAAAACCACCATGAACTTCATATGGAACCAAAAGAGAGCCCGCATAGCCAAGTCAATTCTAAGCAAAAAGAACACAGCGGGGGGCATCACACTACCAGATTTCAAACTATACTACAAGGCTACAGTACTCAAAACAGCATGGTACTGGTACCAAAACAGAGATATAGACCAATGGAACAAAACAGAGGCACCGGAGGCAACACAACATACATACAACTATACAATCTTTGATAAACCCGACAAAAACAAGCAATGGGGAAAGGATTCCATGTTTAACAAATGGTGTTGGGAAAACTGGCTAGCCATGTGCAGAACGGAGAAACTGGACCCCTTCCTGACACCTTACACTAAAATTAACTCCAGATGGATTAAAGACTTAAACATAAGACCTGGCACCATAAAAACCCTAGAAGGAAATCTAGGCAAAACCATCCAGGACATAGGAGTAGGCAAGGACTTCATGAACAAAACACCAAAAGCATTGGCAACAAAAGCCAAAATAGACAAATGGGACCTAATGAAACTCCACAGCTTCTGCACGGCAAAAGAAACAGTCACTAGAGTGGATCGGCAACCAACAGAATGGGAAAAAATTTTTGCAGTCTACCCATCTGACAAAGGGCTGATATCCAGAATTTACAAAGAACTCAAACAGATTTACAGGAAAAAAACAAACAAGCCCATTCAAAAGTGGGCAAAGGATATGAACAGGCACTTTACAAAAGAAGACATATATGAGGCCAACAATCATATGAAAAAATGCTCATCGTCACTGGTCATCAGAGAGATGCAAAAAAAACCACATTGAGATACCATCTCACGCCAGTTAGAATGGCGATCATTAAAAAATCTGGAGACAACAGATGCTGGAGAGGATGTGGAGAAAAAGGAACACTTTTACACTGTTGGTGGGAGTGTAAATTAGTTCAACCATTGTGGAAGACGGTGTGGCGATTCCTCAAGGCCTTAGAAATAGAAATTCCATTTGACCCAGCAATCCCATTACTGGGTATATATCCAAAAGACTATAAATCGTTCTACTATAAGGACACATGTACACGAATGTTCATTGCAGCACTGTTTACAATAGCAAAGACCTGGAATCAACCCAAATGCCCATTGATGATAGACTGGATTGGAAAAATGTGGCACATATACACCATGGAATATTATGCAGCAATCAGAAATGATGAGTTTGTGTCGTTTGTAGGGACATGGATGAATCTGGAGAACATCATCCTCAGCAAACTGACACAAGAACAGAAAATGAAACACCGCATATTCTCACTCATAGGTGGGGGATGAAAAATGAGAACACATGGACACAGAAAGGGGAGTACTAAACAGTGGGGTCTATTGGGGGGAAAAGGGGAGGGCCACTGGGAGGGGGAGGTGGGAAGGGATAGCCTGAGGAGAAATGCCAAATGTGGGTGAAGGGGAGAAGAAAAGCAAAGCACACTGCCATGTGTGTACCTACGCAACTGTCTTGCATGCTCTGCTCATGTACCCCAAAACCTATAATCCAATAAAAAATTAAAAAAAAAAAACAAAAAAACAACAAAAAAAAATTTTTCTTTGATATTTGCTTGCAGTCAGCCTACTGACGGGCAACAGGTCCTTAGAGGGACTCAGCTCATCTCTTCAGTAGTCAGTTTACTCCAAATATACGCAAACAAGATACACTATTCCTAGGGACTGTGTATTTCTTTAGGTTCTAGTGTCCTCCTGGATCCTACCATTAGAGTCAAAAGCAATAAAAGTGATTACAAGAGAATACCAGAAACAACTGTATGGCAACATATTAGATGAACTAGATGAAACGGACAAACTCCTAGAAACATACATATTATCAAAATTGATTCAAGAGGAAATCGTCTCAAAATACCATGAATCAGTAATCAAAAAGAAACTACCCACATAAAAAGCTCAGGCACAAGTGGCTTCACTGCTGAATTTCACCAAACATCAAAGAAGAATTAAGAATTCTTCACAAACCATTTCAAAAAACAGAAGAGATATATTTCCCAACTCATTGTATAAAGCCAATTATTACTCTTATACCAAAACTAAACAAAGACAACACAAGGAAAGTAAGCTACAAACCAGAACACCTCAATAAAATATTAACAAACTAATTCCAGCGACACAATTAAAATAAAAAGGGAAAGAAAGTAGAGAATGGCCTGAAAAAGTGAAACAGAATGTGTAGGGAATTTCTTTAGGCACTACAGTGACATACACTAATATATTTTAGGACACAGTATAATTTATCTCAGTATATCCTCAGCACCTTACTGCTTCTAACACAAAGTATTACCTCAATAGGTTGTTGCAACTAATAAGAATTCACTAAAAGCATCTAGCAAATATTTGACACATAGTATGAACTCAAAAAACGTTAACTATGATCATCCTAGAAGAAAAGTATTAAGCTATATTCCTAACTGTTGAAATCACATTAATCTCACTTAAAAGGAAACAATTTAAACTAAACACTTAAAAAAGATTAAGATATTAAATTTTATGTTATGTGTTTTTTGTTTCTTTTTTGAATCTCTATTTTGGTAGGCCAATGGAAGAGAATCACTTCAGACCACTTCAAGACAGGCCTAAGCAACAAAGCAAGACCTCATTTCTACAACAAATTAAAAAATTAGCCAGGTATAGTGGTCCACACTTGTAGTTCTAGCTACTCAGGAAGCTAAGGAAGGAGGATTATGTGACCCAGGAGTTTGAGGTTACAGTGGTCTATGATCATGCTACTGCACTCCAGCCTGGGCAACAGAGTAAGGCACTGTCTTTTTTTTTTTAAAAAAGCAACTCTTAAATTTAATAAGATATTATTGTCATTCAACGGTCATAATCCCAGGTGCTATGTATGATTCCCTATTTTAATATGAGGAAACAAGCGCAGAGTACTATTCTGCCTGTGTGTCACTCAGCTAATGGTAGAGACTGGATTTAATACTAGGTATGCTAGAGCGCAGAGCTCTTTACACAAATACTGCCTGTCTATAAATGATTAAGTAGCACAAATATTAAATGCCGAACAACAAGAGTATATACTGTATACATAACACACATTACCTAGAACAATCAAGATTTTTCTTCTTAGCCAAGTCTGCCTCATCACTTTCCAATGGCTCACTCTGCGAACAACTGGAAATTTCATCATGACCAACAATACCTCCAGAACCTTTAGCATTTAAAACCTTCTGTACTCTTGGGCTGCCTTTAGGTGCTGTCCTCTGCCTTTTAAGTGGAGTAGTTTTTTTTCCAATATTCTTAGATGACTGATTTGTTTTCTTAGCAGATTTTTGCCTACTGTCATGATGCACTGTTAATTCATTTCTTATTGAAGAATTGCTATAAACAGGACCTGAAGGATTCAATGGTAACCTAATGTTAGCATACTTGTCCAGATGATTTGGCTCACTGAAATACCAACATCATTTATATTTGCATATAAACATATACAGGCAAACACACACCTCATAGGCTAAATTTATTTCCAAATTAAATTATTTAAACAATGCAGTTCTTCAGTTTATAGACACATGCAACAGGCCCTTTAAATCTATCACAGGCTTCTAAAAACACTCTCTAGCTTTGCCCACTGCTCTTTTTGCTATCCTTAATATCTGTTATTCCCCAAGGCTACAGCTTCAGCTTTTCTCACTCCATATACTTTCTTTGAGGGACTCATCTACCCAGAGCTTAATTACTATTTATACTGATACCTATAATATCCACCTACTGCTCTCCCCTAAATCTGCCTCTCTTGCCTTATTTCCTATCTTACTGAAAAATACAACTACCTATTCTATCCAGATATCTAACCCAGAAATTTGAGTCATGCAAGACTACTACTCCTATCCACAATCACTCCCAAAATCCTGTCAATTCTACTTTATTAATGCCTTTCAAATCTTTCAAGCTCTCCCTCCTGTCATTAGCAGAGGCCCTCATCATTTCCTATCTAGATTATTAAAATAGTCTCTTGAATAATCTTCCCTTCTCTAGCCTTCTCATTTTTCAATCCATTCTTCACAATGCTACAAGAATCACCTTTGGAAAACAAAAACTAGATCATTACAACCCTGCTTAATTAAAGTATTTCAGTAATTATCTATAACTTTAGGATGAAGTCCAAATACTTGTAACATCAATTTATATCTACATCTAGATTTTCTTATTTCATAAACCACAATTCCCAAAACCACACTCTAAACAAACCAAAAAAAACCATCAGTACTGAACTATCTATAGTTTCTCTAAAGCACTAGCTGTCAAAAGGCAGTCTCTAGACCAACAAGATCATCATTATCTGGAAATTTGAAATGCAAATTATCATGCCTCACCTCAGACCCAGTGAATCAAAAACTTTGCAGAGCAGGACCCAGTAATCGGTGTCTTAATAAGCTCCCCAGACAGTTCTAAAGCACACTAAATTTAAAAAAGGAAAAGACCAAGCTCTCTGCTTCAGATCTCTGCATATGCCACTTCTACTTAAAACATTCCATCCTTCCTCCTTACTCCACTCAATCACTTAGCTAACTCCTAATTCATCCTTCAGGAAGCTTTCCCTAATTTCCAAGTCTTAAGGTAGCTTGCTATCACACATGTGACTATTTATTTATTTCTACCCCTCTCCTCCAGTAGACTGACAATTCCTTGACTCCAAGTAATTGATTGGTAGTTTATGTATTTTAATCAACTAACAATAGGGACAGGACTATGGTGAAGCAAGAGTAGTCTCAGCTAGAAAATTCAAGAAGGTACTCATTTTTAGGTTTGTGCAAGTACAGAGCCTGAACTCACACAACCCTGAAATTGAATGCCTTACATTTTTCATCCTAGTGTCTCAACTGTCTTACTCTAGTCCTGGTCCTCCTTTACCTCATTTCTGCCCCAAGGCAAGTACTCCATATACATTTCTTCATATATATGAAAGGTCAACAATGTCACATATACTACAAGCAGGTTGGAGACTCGTCAAGTTGTTCTTAACTTCAGACTTCAGTTTCTTCTTCCATCAGATCAGAGTTTAGACTATATGATATATAAGCATATCTCTACTTTTCTAATTCCCAGCTTGATCAAAAATACAACATCTATTTCAGGACTGTTAAATAAGTGTTTTTGATAGTTTCAGAAGTCTGGCACATTTAATTTCTGCAAGAACTTATTTACCCACTATTTACGTGCTATCTGCCATAATACTTTAGCATTTCAGGCAACCTGGGGCAGAAAAGTGAGTTCCCCAAAGAAGTGATAGTATTACTTAAGTTGAACACTAACATATGCCACCCACTACGCTAACTGCATTTAATCCTTATAAAACTCAATGAGATAATCATGTTACAGAATGAGAAACTAAACAAAGTAATCTACTCTAAGTGGAAGAGTGATCATTTGAACTCAGATCTGACTCCAAAATCCAAAGGCTGCAACAAAATAAATAATTAATGCTATCAATCAATAATCTCAATGATTTAATAATTCATAGCAATAACGCTTCATAGATACAATGCACTACTTGTACTAACCTTTCACTTATTAATCTAAAAGCCCCATAGTCAATAGAATTTGTGTATGTGAATGCTACCTTATGATCCACCAATCTTTTCAGGATCATTTCCTTTAAAAAAAATGACAATTCTTCCAAAACAATAAATGTTTCATATTGTGCAGAAAAAAGTTAGCAGAGCAGGTCTAAGTATACTGCCCTTAAAAGGGCCTGCTTTCAAAGTTAGCCCTATAACCTTACATTTCAGGAGGGTTCCCATCATTTCCTAACTGACAAACGTAGTTTTGTGTGCCTAAACTGCTTATACAAAAAATATGGTTCAGGCTGAATATTTGCCTTCGTTCAGTGAGTATGGAATTATAGTATTTGCTATGGAGAGTAACTAAGTGACCACCCCCACTAAAGATCTTGGGCACTAAGTCTCTAGTGAGCTTCCCTGGTAGACATTACGCCAATTTGTCACAACTCATTGTCAGAGGAATTAAGCAACTCCTGTGGGAATCCACTGAGCAAGAACTCTTTAAGCTTCTGCTGATTTCCTCCAGACTTAGCCCATGCGCTTTTTCTCTACTGAATTTGCACCGCATCCTTTCACTGTAATGAATCACAGCCACTGAGTACAACTATATGCCCAGTCCTCCTAGCAAATTACCAAATCTGAGGGTAGTCTTAAGAACCACCAACACAAATAATTTACTTTTTTATGTGCAATAAACTCAATTATAATCTTTTAGATTATAAACTCCTTGGTGGCACAACCTCATATTATCAATCTTTGTATCCCTCACAACCAACATATTAAAATAGCAGGATTATTTTTACTGCCTTTCCCAACTAGAATGTAAGCTCCATGAGAGCAGGGATTTTTGGTCTGGGGTTTTGTTTTTCCATAGCTATTATCCCTATACCTAGAATGCTTTATATATTAAAACTTCAAGGAGTATCTTTACAATTGACTTAACATTTCTTCTGATAACCCAATTTAACTTGGTCCTCATGAGATTCTCTGCAAGAAATACAAAATCAAATATAATGTCTCTTACAGAATGATTTTATCTATGAACGAATATAATTTAAATAAAAATACTTACTCTCCTCTGATTTTACCACCCACCAATTAGATGGACGTCTGGAAATTCTTCGACTTCTCGTGACAGTGGAAGTCACTTCTTCAGGTACAAGTTTGTCCTTGGACTCACTGGAAAGGTGCCTCTTTTTAGATTCTTCCTTATCTTTTCTAGTGCTACTTTTCTTGCTTCCTAAAATAAAGAAAACCATAAAACCAATTCACAATCTACTAGGAGTTTTTAGGAAACTGTAACATTAAAAAAAAAAAACCTCAGTTATAGGAACTTCTCAACTTTATCCTGTGTCCTTCTTTTCATCTCTATGTTTAAAAGTCACATGTTCTCTTTCTGCCAATTATACGTGCTGCTGAAGTAAGCACTAATTTTCTATTAAATGCAAACTGTTCACATTGCTTGATAACTCTTATATACTCCTCAGCCAAAAAAAAATTATCTTCTGAAACTGAAAAAAATATATTCAGTTCCTTCCTACAATGTCCCAAGTAAAAGCAATTACTGCTTTCTTGTTTTGAAATGATTATTTTCAATCTAATTCTTAAGAGATTTAAACTGTGATTAAATTATAAATCCTGAAATACAGGCATTTTCTTGGATTATCCAGGTTGACCCAATCTAATGATATGTTTTTTTTAAAAGATGTGGTCAGAGAGATGAGATGATGGAGGAAGAGCCAAGATAAATTCAAAACCTCAGAAGGCTGGCATTGCTGGTTTTGCATACTGTGGAGGAGGACTATGAGTCAAGGAATATAGGTAGTTTAAACAGGCTGGAAAAGGCAAATAAACAGATTTTCTCCTAGAGCCACTAAAAAGAAAGAAAACCCCACCAATACCTTGATTTTATCCCAGTGAGACATCTGACCCACGGAACTGTAAGATAATCAATATTTGTTGTTGTACGCCACTAAGTGTGTAGTAACTTGTCATATGACAGCAATAGAAAATTAGTACAACTGCTATGGATATTAATGAGAACATTATATTCACTAACCAATCTAGAAAAAAAATACATGTAAAAATCAGTGTATAGAATATAGCAGGTACTCAGTAAATGTTTAATAGTTACAATTATAGAAAGCATCCTTCAAGTATACTTCCTTTATATGTCTTTTCCTAAGAAATTATGAATAAATCAAAATTTTGTACCCTACCTTTTCATATATATGCATGTATATATATTATCGTTCTACAGAACCCACCAGAATGATCTTGTTAACAGCAGAAATAATGGGTTAGTAATTTTTGTGACTACAGTTCTTAATACAGTGTCTGGCATTCAACAACTGTCAGATAAATGAGTGAATGATGGAAGAGAATGGATTTTTATCTCTATAAAAAATAGCCCCATGCTACCCTAGAATTTCTTTTAACATTTTTATTTTCTAAAGAATTTATGGACAAAGGGAGGGGAACATCACACACTGGAGTCTGTTGAGGGGTGGGGGGCTATAGGAGGGATAGCAGGAGGTGGGGAGATTGGGGAGGGATAACATTAGGAGATATACCTAATATAGGTGACAGGGGGACGAAGGCAGCAAACCACCATGGCATGTGTATACCTATGTAACAATCCTGCAAGATCTACACATGTACTCCAGAACTTAAAGTAAAATTTAAAAAAAAAATAGAATTTATCATTCTGTCTTACTCATGTTCTGATACTAACTTTCTTACTAGCCTTTCCTTTTCACTTTGCCCTCTATATATACTGCCATCTCACAATATAAACAAAAAACATGACTTAGAATTGAATTATATATAAAATAAAAAGATTCTAGAAAATAATCTATAGGCTTTTGAGGCTCTTTGTTGATTTAGGTTTACTTTGCCTACTTGCCAAAGCTAAATTAGGATATTAAAAACATAAAGTGGGTAGAATAATGATCACAGTTATATTTAATATAAACACTTACCCAAAGGTGACATCTGTTTTTTGGAAGCACGATCATTTCCCATCTCTTCACACTGTTCCATATTTCTGTCTGAATTTCTCTGAAATTTGTCTTGGGTAATATGTGATGTATACATGTTTTCATCTTTAGACTGTCCCATATCAAGCTGTTCTTTAGCTAGTTTAGCCTTAAATTTTCTTCCCTGTTTTTGTTTTATAGTCCTTTTACTTCCAGATGATTTTTTTGCATTCTCAGAATACATTTCATATTTTGTAGATCTACAATTATTTACCATTTCACCTGTCAAAGCATTACTTGTATCCAGTACTGTTTTATCAGAGGGCTGAGATGTCTCTACTGAGTGAGGTTTATGGGAATGTTTGTCATTTGTCAAAGTCTTAGGTGATATATTATGATGTTTTTCTCTTGACTTTCTACCTTGATGGAGTGTAGTACTCTCAGCCGGAGGAGATGTTATGCGTTGTTTCAGAGGCCCTGTCTTTCTTGGTATTGTAATCCAAGATCTACTGGCAAAACTTTTATCTGATTCGTCAATTATAAATTCATCCTCTATCAACTCCTTATCATCTGGAGGGCATGAATGAGGTACAGCAGTTGTCGCATGCCTAACAATGGGACTAAAAAAGGGTGATACTTTTAACAGTTCAAAAAAATGAAGGTTTTCTTTGTTTAGCAAAGAAAATAACCTAGGAAACAAAATTCACGTATCTTTTAAAGAGTTTATATATCTCCTCAATTTTCCCTTCATCTTACAAATCTTTCCCTCCTTTTACATTTCAATGTCTGTTCACCCTCATTTATAATAATGACAATCATAAAACTTTAGAGCTGGAAATTAGAGATAGACGTCAACTAATTTGGTCCCACTCACTCACACATTATATATACTAAAACTGAAGCCCAGAGGGGTAAAATTATAACCCAGATACATTGACTTGCAGTCCAAAATGAATGCCACTATATTATTTATATATTATATATAATTATATATTTTATATTAATTATATATTTGTATATGTGCCTTTTGGGGTCTGAATTCTTCACTTTCAAAATAAATCAACGTGATTATTTCTGAGAAAACTCCAAGTCTGATATTCGAATGGAATACTACTAAATTATAAGAGATTGGAGAGGCTGGGTGCAGTGGCTCACACCTGTAATCCCAGCACTTTGGGAGTCTGAGGCGGGTGGATCACCTTAGGTCAGGATGTTCAAGACCAGCCTGGCCAACATGGTGAAACCCCATCTCTACTAAAAATATCAAAATTAGCCAGGCATGATGGCAGGTGCCTGTACTCCCAGATACTCAGGAGAGGCAGAAGAATTGCTTGAACCCAGGAGGCAGAGGTTGCAATGAGCCGAGATCATGCCACTGTACTCCAGCTTGGGCGACTGTGTGAAACTCCGTCTCAGGAAAAAAAAAAAAAACAGTGAGTGATTGCAAAAAATTTCTTCCAATGTTTCTTTTACATCCCAAGTTCTTTATACACAGCAACACCAAATACACAGACAGTTGAACAAATGTAAAAATTACTAACATTACTATAGAACTGTAAACTATAGACCCACAGAACTATAAAATAATAAATGTTTGTTGTTTTAAGCCATTAAGTGTGTACTAACTTGTTATATGACAGCATATGCATAAAAAATTCATTCAAAATTTGGTATCTTATATATTTTCATATTATAATCATGGTATAGAAATAAATGGGAGTGTATCTGGAAAGGTACCTTAAGCACAAAAGAAATCTAGTGCCATTAAAAACAGGAAAAAATAAAAGGCAAGTCTTATTACAAAGCTTACAATGCTATAGACTCTGTTAAAAATAATAAAGTCAAAGTCAAACAATGTTTCCCAACTCTAGACCTTTCTCCATAGTTATAGCCCAAACTTTATGTACTTTACTAAAAGGCAGAAAACCTGTATTATGACTATTATTGTTATTTCCCACTCCCAGTGTTATAAAAGGATAAACAGTGAGACAGACAATTTCACCTACAATTTTATGTCTTATAATCTAACATCAACGCTAATTCTTACATTTTCATAAAATCATGTATTTTAAGTACATACAGAGAGATTCATAACAGAAAGAAAGCCAGAATGCAAAACTTAGATTACGTTTTTCTCTTTTAATTAGAATATACAAAAGGAATCAGAAATGAAAATGCCTTCTCTGTTCCTATAATCTCAAACTCCTGACAAATCTTATAATTTAAAATAGCAAATACTCTAAGAAATATACTCTCTAATGGTAGAGTTTCACAAATTTATATAATAAAACTATAAAAACGAATAAAGAACAAAGTCAATACAAATACTACAATGAATTGATGTTTAACAGAAATGATAACCTTATGAAACAATGACGATATTATGAAAGTTTAGAATAGGGAAAGATGGCTTCTAGTTAGCTAGAAAAACTATGAAAGGCGTTGTAGCATTTGAACTGGATCTTGACAGATTTATAAGATTTGGTCACAAGGAGATACAAGAAGGACAATCAGAAGGAAGAGTCTAAGTGGAAGCAACGATGCTAGAAAACACTGGGAATAGTGAATAGTTATATTTGGCTACAATAATTAAACATAAAATTAACTTTACTCACTAGAATATTAAAAAGAACATTAAAAAATAATTTCTCAGAAATGATAGATATAATTAGCTCATAATTATAACACATTTGTTTCAGATGGTGGTGACAATATCCATGAGGCGCAAAATATATACATAAAAATAATCAACTACAGGAAACAGAGACTGAACAAAAGGGGAATTTCATTCATTCATTCAACATGTTGTTAAAAAAACTTCCTTTTCTTTGAGACAGAGTCTCACTCTGTCACCCAGGTTGGAGTGAAGTGGCACAATCTCTGCTCACTGGCAACCTCCACCTCCCAAATAGCTAAGATTACAGGAATGTGCCACCATGCCCAGCTAATTTTTGTATTTTTAGTAGAGATGAGGTTTCACCATTGGTCAGGCTGGTCTCAAACCGCTAACCTCAAGTGATCTGCCCACCTCAGACTCCCAAAGTGCTAGGATTACAGGCATGAGCCACTGCGCCCAGCAATAAAAAATTCCTAGTATGTTCACTAACACTCTGATACCTATGATAGTGACATAGGGGACCCTAAAATAATGATTTTTAAATACTGCATTGTCAGCCAGGCGATATCTCTCGTTACAGGTCAGACAAAATTTTCAATTAAAATTGTTGTTAATTAAATGATTTATTTCTAAGTTAAATAACATTAGGAATCCTTATATATACTTCATAGAAAAGAAAAATGTTTCAAAGGATAGTTTCTTAATAACTCACCTGGATTCACTTTTTCGTTTTATCGTTTCTAAAAACAATGTTGAAAAACTTTTAGCTTGTGGTTGAATTTCATATTCTGAATCTTGCATTCTATTCTGAGATGATCCCGATGGTTGTCTTTCTTGTCCTTCTGATGTTTTATCCACTTCATCTGATACTTTATTATCTATTTCTATTTTCCTTAAAATAACTTTATCTTCAAAGTTTAACCTAAAAGGTTAAAAGGAGGATAAGCTAAATCTCCTGGAACGTTTCTTGAGTTATGAGTCTTTCTGAACTCCCTTACAGACAATACAGACTACTCTGTATTCTGCATTAGGCCTTTATTTAAAACATAAATGCTGATTTGTGCACTCCAAATACACGAGATAAACTGCTCAGGAAAATTAACGTTTGTATTTACCAATAGAAAAACATAAAAAGAGAAAACAATAGTCAAAGTATACATCAATGAAATGTATAGCTAGGTGACGGTTCTCAGGGCAATCTCAGAGCACGGTGACAGACCAAACTTTGAATAGCTAAGTCTTAGAATATACTTAACTCCTCGGCTCCAGGAATCACACAATACTCTAGGTAGAAATTACACTCATTACAGAGATCTCCAACAGCAAAAGTCCTTGAACAATCCACTTTGCTTCCTAAAGGCCAAAGGTAAGGCTAAGAAAGAGAAACCAGCTGTCCACAAAGCATAGTATCCTCAATAATAGGTATGCTCTGCTACCCTAGAAGTGACCTGATATATACCTACACTCGCAATTATAAAAAAAACTGAGGAAATACAAATGGTTTATCTTAGGAAGCAGTCAAATACTGTCAGAGAGAGAAAACACATCTTTCTATAGACTATAGAAAAGTTAACCTCTAAGCTTCTCTGAAGTAAACTTTAAGGCCTTCCTGAATTATTATAAACTGAATATATGCTAAATGTATAGTTTCTCATGTTACTATGTTAACATGTTAACATTCCCCCTTCCTTAATGTAAAATTATATAACAAGATTGAATTACCATTTTTTAATATAAAAGGTAAAATTTTTAAAGTGCAATTAACATTATTTAAATAAAATGTTACCTTTTTTTAGTTTTAAGTGAAATCTCTGTACTTGAAGGCGGCATATTTACTGAATTTTCAAAAGTGTAAGTCTCTCTCTTTTGGGCACTAGATGAAATAAGATTTTGCGATACAGATGTTTTTGCATCCAAAAGAACAGAAGGTGAGCCAACAGATAAGTAAAATTCTTCATCAGCTTCACTGTGATGATCATTTATGTTTCTACTTGACATTTTTTTCGAGTCAGATGTATTTTTGGAACTAACATCAGTTGCCAGAATTCTCTGATGAACTTCATGGGCTTGAACTAGAAGAAAATTATATAAAGATACTGTCAATTAAAAGAATAATAAGAGAATCAAGCAGGCTTTTTAAAATTCGGAAATAATTTAATCAGAAATAGTTTTCAGAAAACTCAAAAGCCATTAAGATTAGAACCAAAGACATATGATTAAAATAAGTACTTAAGATTCTTCTATCTTTGGGCTAAAAACTGGTGACCTATGGCAGTTAGATGATCACATATTTATACATACACACATGAATATAGATATAACATATATAGAGATGTGATGTAAGCATGTATGCATATATACATACACAGTATATATGTATATGAACATTTATCTATAATGAGAAAATATAAGAGAATATATATATGTATATATTTTCTTAACCCTCATCCTTCTGAACGAGATAGCATTTCCCTGCTTCTTCCTCTAAATACAACTAAATTCTTGGAAGTTATCCATCAGTCAACATTAGGATTCTGAAAGCTGAAAGAAAAAAGGCAGACTATCTAGGAAACTCAAGACAAGGAACAGACAAGGCAATGAGTCCCGTGGGTTTTCTCTTTGTCTCCTATATACCCATGAATGGGCAGTGGAGAAACCTACAACCTGGAACTATCAACAGGTGAAAGACAGGGTGGGGGCTGGGTGGAATCTGTATTCTCTGAACAAGGTGAACCCAATAAAGATCTAATGAGAAAATTCAAGCCTCATTCTGCATTGTGGGCCGTGGAGCACTCCTTACTACACGCACTAGCAGAGCAACAAAGCCCTGGGCTGTGCTATGGGCTGTAGCAGCAAAGGAGTTCATACCAAGCCAGCTCTGCTTCAACAATCATAGCTGGCAAGCAGTATGACCCACAGGAAGCTGTAGAGGAGTGAAACCCCTGACCTTCACAGCCCAAGGCAACATTTTGATCCACGGATAGTATTGATACCCCAGGTCATCCCAGTCCCTACTTTACCAACCAGGGCACCAGCAGACGGTCTAATCGGAGGCAAAAGTGTAACAGAGGCCAGCATCCCCCTGTCCTCCACTCAATGATATAAGGAAACTCAGGCCCAGCAGCTTTTAACCAGAACCCCACATAGGTGAACAAGGACATCAAAAGGTACCTTCCACCCACCCCAGACAGCATCAACAGGAACTGAGCTAGAATTCTAACAGCATCAGAAAATGAGGCAGAACAAAGTACCACTATTATTACTCTGAACACTTAACTATCATTGAAATTAGGACTCATAAAACTAGGAAAGAGAGGGTGGGCACGGTGGTTCACACCTCCAATCCCAACACTTTGAAAGGCCAAAGTGGATGGATCACTTGAGGCCAGGAGTTTGAGACCAGCCTGGCCAAAATGGCGAAACTTCATCTCTACTTAAAATACAAAAATCAGCCAGGCACAGTGGCACATGCCTATAATCCAGCTACTCTGGAAGCTGAGGCATGAGAATCACTTGAACCCGGGAGGCAGCAGTTGCAGAGAGCTAAGATCACTCCACTGCACTCCAGCCTAGGCGACAGAGCAAGACTGTCTCAAAAAATAAAAACAAAAAAAGGAAACTCTCAAATAAGTAGCATTTAAAAAAAAAAGTTTTTTGAAAAGCAGCCATTATAGGTATATAGCGGTTTCTAAATGTTGTTTTAAATTTTCCTAATAACAATGATGTAAAAGAAATCAAAACCATAATAAAATACATCATACACATTAGGATAGCTATTTACATAAACAAAAAATAACAACTGTTGATGTACAAAAATTGGAATCTTTGTGCATGCACTGCCTGTGTGAATTTAAGTGTACAGTGGATCCTTAAAAACTTAAAATTGAAAGCAGGAACTCAAACAGATACTTTCACACCAATGTTCATAGCAGTATTACTCTCAATAGCCAAAAAGTGAATACAACTCAAGTGCCCATCATCAGATTAATAGATAAAACATGGTATACACATATAATAAAATATTACCAATCTTAGAATGAAATTCTGACACATGCTACAACATGGATGAACCCTGAAGACATGCTAAATGAAATAAACCAGTCAAAGACAAATTTCTGTCTGAAATTGATAGAGACAGAAAAAGTAGAATGGTGGTTGCCAGGGGCTGATGGAAGAAGAGATACTGTTTAATGGGTACGAAGTTTCAGTTTTGCACAATGTAAAAGTTCTACAGATTCATGGTAGTGACAGCTGCACAACAATGTGAATGTACTTGAAGCTACTGAACTGTATATTCAAAAATAAAGTGGAAAATTTTATGTTTACTATACAATATTCTAAAATACATACTTTCGTTAAAACATCAAAGAAAGTGATGTGTGTATATTAACAACTATTCAAAAGTCTTGTAAAGTTAAAAAATATTAAAACGCATGAAAACAGAAATAAACAACAGTAGTATTTAAGTTGCAAATTAGTTGTTTCAGCTACTATGTCTGCATAATATAACTCCTTAACTTGGTATAAAACAACCATTCATTATGTGCATGGATTCAGTAGGTCAGGAATTCAGAAGAGCACAGAAGGGATGGCTTCTTCCATGAATTCTGAGCCCTGGAATCATCTGACAGCTTGTTTACACATATTTGACACCTTGTATTGGCTGCAGGCTGGGAGTCTTTTACTCCTCGGTGGCTAGTTTGGGCTTCTTCATAGTATATTGTCTGGGTTCCAAGTGTAATTGGAGAGAACAAGAGACAGAGAGAGCCAGAGAGCCAGAGAGAGAGAGAGAGAGAGAGAGAGACTGAGGGAGGTGGGGGGGATCCAGCATGCCAAGCAGAGCCATATAGCCTTTTATGACCTAATCATGGAAATCACATGTATTATATATGCCATATTCGATGTATGATATGTAGAAACAACTTCACTGAAGTGGATGGGGGTGGGGGGAAGGTGATGACCTAGGAAAGATCAGAAATGAATCAAAGGCTGGGTGCAGTGGCTCAGGCCTGTAATTCCAACACTTTGGGAGGACGAGGTGAGCAGATCACCTGAGGTCAGGAGTTCAAGACCAGCCTGGCCAACATGGTGAAATCCAATCTCCTAAAAACACAAAAATTATCTGGGCATGGTGGCTCGTGCCTGTAATCCTAGCTACTCAGGAGGCTAAGGAAGGAGAATCGCTTGAACTCCAGAGGCAGAGGTTGCAGTAGGCCAAGATCATGCCATTGCACTCCAGTCTGGGTGATAAAAGCAAAACTTTGTCTTAAAAAAAAAAAAAAAACAAGAAATGAATCAGCTGGGCATTGCAGTGGCTCACACCTATAACCCCAATACTTTGGAACACTAAGTCCAGTGGATAACTTGAGGTAAGGAGTTCAAGACCAGCCTGGCTAACATGGTGGAAACCCTGTCTCTACTAAAAATACAAAAAAAATTAGACAAGCGTGGTGGCCAGCGCCTGTAATCCCAGCTACTCAGGAGCCTGAGGCAGAAGAATCACTTGAACCCTGGAGTCAGAGGTTGCAGTGAGCTAAGATCCCTCCACTGCCAGGGTGACAGAGGGAGACTGTCTCAAAAACAAAAAACACCAACAAAATGAATGGAGTCTGTAAAACTGAAGGCAAAAGAAACTGTACATAAGCATAAGCACTATGCTCTAGTTGACAAAACTGTTTTCCACAGGACATGAATCAACAATTCTGCCACTCTTTTATATGTATATAGAAATGTACAAGGTAAGTAAATAGATAGTGAATGGTGAACACCAACTTTCTAATCCATGTAATGGGAGTTTACAGATAAGCAAGAGGAGGCTAGAATAATCCATGTGGTAATGGATTAGAGTCAGAGACCTCAGTATGAATTTATGTTTATTTCAACATAGATACAGATAGTTATATTTAAAGATATTTATAAATACATGTTTATACACAAGTTAGTGTACACACACACAATTACCCAGTTCTGTCAGTTGAAAGGGTCTAGAAGCAACAACTCCACAGGAGTGACAGCAGACCTAGCATTCTGATCTCAGTTTCTAATACCACTACCCAGTAAAAGAAATCGTGATTCCATAAAGAAATGGTTGATTCTAGGATAAGGAAGGAGAGCATCTTGTGGCTCCAAAAGGTAAGAGAGTGCTCAGAAACAACAAAACTGGACTATGTCACTAGAACCAAAAAGAGCTTCTATTAGTCAAATCTGGAACAATTGGAACAAAATATATAGTAATGAATTATAAAGTAGAAATAAAATTTCTCCATCAAGAAAAGAGCAAAATAAACCCAATGAAGCAGAGGGTTGGAAAAAATAAAGAACGGAAATCAATAAAACTGATAACAGAAAAATATAGAAAATTATTGACACAAGGTATTTTTTGGGGGAAAAAACTACAAATGATAAACATCTATCAAAATTAACAATGATAAGAAGACACCAACCACCAATATGTGGAATAGAACAAAGGATGATATCACAATAGATTTTGCAGCCATCAAAAGTAAGGTAATGCTTCACTTTGAAAACTGACACGAAATGAGGATGCCCTCTCTCACCACTCCTGTTCAACAAAGTATTGAAAGTTCCGGACAGGGCAATCAGCCAAAAGAAAGAAATAAAGGAAGAAAGGAAGTCAACTGTCTCTGTTTGCAGATGATGTGATTATATATTTAGAAAACCCTACCATTTCACCCCCCAAACTCCTTAAGCTGATAAGCAACTTCAGCAAAGTCTCAGGAATACAAAATCAGTGTGCAAAAATCACAAGCATTCCTATACACCAATAATAGACAAGCAGAGAGGCAAATCATGAGTAAACTTCCCGTCAACAATTGCTACACAGAAAATAAACTATCTAGAAATACAACATATAAGGGACATGAAGAACCTCTTCAAGGAGAACTACAAACCAATGCTCAAAGAAATAAGAGAGGACACAAACAAATAGAAAAAAACTTCCATGCTCATGGATAGGAAGAATCAACATCATGAAAATGTCCATAATGCCCAAAGTAATTTATACATTCAATGCTATTCCCATCATGCTACCACTGACTGTCTTCACAGAACT